TGATTTTCAAATATGTCCTCCCATTTCAAGCGTTGCCCTTTTTTTAACTCTGCTCATGTTTTACTGTTTTGTTTCATATTGTTTTGGCATTTGGTACGAGGAATCCAACTTAGGACCTTGCACTTGCCAGGCAGGCAGTTGTGCCACTGAATTATATTCCCGGCCAGATAATGTCTTTTGAGGAACAAAGTTTTAAAATTTTTTATTAAGTCCAAGTTTGCTGTTTGCCTCTCAAATCTCAAAGAGAGATTTGTCTATACTTCCTCACAGTGACACGAACCACACAGTAGCACTGCCAGAATATGGTAGCAATTCTATGCCCACTGAAACGTGAACGGATCACAGACGTGATTCATACGTACAAAAAGGGTATTATTCAGCCTTCAAAGAAATTGTGTGACACACTACAAAACAGATGGCTTTTGAGGACATATTAAGTGGAGATAAAATCACACACAAAAAGCAACTACTGTGTTTCCACTTATATGAAGTAGTCAAAATCATAGAAAAAAAACAAAAACAAAAACGGTAGCTGCCAGGGAATGTGAGGGAATGAGGAGTTACTGTTCAGTGATTTACCTAACAAGACGAAAAGCTAAGGAGATGGATGTTGGTAGTGGTTTCACAACATTACAAATGGCTAAGATGGGAAACTTTAATTCATGTGTATTTAATCACACACAAAAAACGTTAACCACCACAAATAGCTGTTGACTATGGCATCTGAACAGGACTGTGCTAGAACCTAGGTTATAACAGCCACAAACAAACAGGGATTCATATACACCATGGCCTGTCCAGGAACGACAGCGGGTAGAAACAGGTCCAGAACTCAAGCCTGATTACTTGCCAGAGGAGGAGAAGGATGCTGGCTCATGTTCTACACAACTAAAAGTAGATTAATGAGCAGTAACTACCCATCACCTGTGTTTGTACAATGTACATAATGTGCACATTTTATAAACAAAAACACAAATAAAAACTTAGCCTTAAAATAGATAATAGAAACCGTCCTGAACATGCCAGCATATGCTACACACACACACATCTGTTATAGAACAGATCTCAAGCGTGCTTCAAAGGTCTATCGGTTGATGGCTTGGTCTCCAGCCTGTGGCATTCCACAGGGATGCAGGTAACAGGAGACACAGGAAGAAAGGTTACTGAGAGTGGGCCTTCTCACTTTTGGCCTTCTGGCTGCCCTGAAGTGAGCAGGTCTGTTTCTTCATGTGCTCCTCACCATGATGCTCTTTCTCACGCCAGCACCAAAGCAACAGGACCAAGCAGCTATGGACTGAGGGCTCAAAACTGAGCCAACATAAACATTTCCTCATAGTTTATCTAGTCAGGTATTTTGTCAAGGTGATGGAAAACTAACACACAGCCCAAAAGTATTAAGTGGAAAATTCCAGAAGTAAATAATTTGTAAGTTTCAAATTCAGCACTATGCTAAGCACATTTTGAAACCTTGTGCCATCTCCTTTGGTACTACACGAGACAATTATTTTTTGTGCCGTGTTCCCACATTATATATACTCTCCACCAGTCAAGTCACTTAGTGGCAATCGGAGTTCTCTCCCCTGTGTCACAGTACTTGTAACTCTTATTTAACAATGGACCCAAAGTGTAGTGATGCACAGGTGTCATTAGGGAAACTGAAACTGATGGACTCTAGAACTACGTGACAATGCTGCAGGCACATTTTTTAAAAAGTTCCTTAGCATCCCTAGGGGATTGGTTCCAAGATAAAACTACCTGGCTCTCGCCACTTGGTAGACAATAAAATTTGTAGCCATTAAAGTTCCTTCTATAAATGGCACAGTATCCGCTTATAACCTATGCATATGTAATGCACATCATTCCATATACTTTATTTCTACATTACTTATAATACCTAAGAAAATGTAAATACTACCTACACAGTTGTTATATTGAATTGCTTACAGGATAACAAGTCTGTACAAGTGCAATCAGGTGCAAATTTCCTTTTTTTTCAACTAGTTATGGGTTGAAAATATTCATAAATGTAGAACTCCTGTGTTATTCAAATTCAGACCACTATCAGAGGATATGGAATATATCCCTGTGAAAAAACGGGGCACTATTATATTTAAATTGATCACAAACCTTAAATAAAGTAACAAAAATACTACGTCTTCCAGCCTGGGCTCACCGTGCCACTAACGTCAGCATACGGCCCAGGCACTCACTGACAATTTGTGCTTTAACTGTCCCATTACAATCCGTGAATGGAAAGGGCTTCACTGGTCTTTTCCTGCCTTATCAAACAGATTGCACTGAACTTGAGCATCTAAGATCCCTATTTTCTTGCCTAAATATAAACTCTCAATATGCCCAGGAGGAAAAGGGGCCTTGAATTCTGTGCAGAATTGAGCTGGTCACTACACTAGCACTTTACAATGGTTCTGATTTGTATCCCTCCATTTGCTATTTTTTCTTTTATCTTAAACTAAGGTAGCACTGAAGAGGACCACCTTGATTGTACTGGAAGAATGCTTAAAAAATAAAAATGAAAACTATACCCCACTTCCAATACTGCTAATAATAGTACAGTCTGTCATTCTGATGTTTCCATGGATTTCATCAATAAAAGGTTCATGACATTACCATTTTCAGTGTTATTTGCTGTATGAACCACAACGGTAAGAATGGTCTGAAAGATGTTTACCAGCATTAATAATTAAACATCTTTACCAAATGCAGCTTTTCTAAAAGCATTAAAAGACAGAAAGTAAAAGGGAAAGGGGCGGGCAGGGGGTCAATGAGAAAAAATAAGAAACCAAACTTTTCTAAATACATATTATAGCAGCTAAACAGTTACCTTATTCTACAAGAGCTCTTTTTCAGATACTCTGAAAGTGCTTTTTTTCTTTCTTTTCTTTTTCTTCCCCTATGAGAGAAGTGAAGCAGTGAAGAAAATGAAAGTGTTCATTTAAGTGTATATTCGCATCAGGCTAATTTATAAAAGCTCGGGCCAGCTGACTCTACTTACAGCCACCAGCGACCAACAAAACTCCAGTTGAGCAGACTAATTGAGATTCCTCAGGGCGCTCCCTCCCCTAGCAGCTGGACGACGCCTCATTAGGCACTGTGTCCCCCTCTCTGGAATACTAAATCCCACTCTGCTTGGCCAGAGTTCACAGCCCATGGGGTTCCTACAGCTTCACACACACCAGTGTGATAAGGCTGTTGGTTTTGCTTTGCACCTCTGTTTGCTTGTGTTCTCTTCTACCTCAGACTAAAGTTGTCTGAAGAGGACTACATTGGTTGTATGGGAGTACTGCTTAAAAATAACAAAACTATGCTCCACCTCTGACATCCTCACACACAGCCTGGTCCTCATAAATACCTTCCCTAGGCAGACTGAAGAGGCTCTTCCTATAAACACGATCGGCAGCAGCGATGGACAGAGTTCACACAGCAAAGTAAACTCACAAAATCTTATTTCCTCACCTTCTTCAGTTCTCTGTGCAGATGCAAGATTGGAATACTCAACTTTCATTAGACCAGTCAATGTCTGACATCATTTGATGATTGTTATTTTCTTCTTTACCCAAATGACATGCTATGGATCCTTCCATGCACTCTTTAAAAATGCCTAAAGATGCCCAAGGAATCACTGTCATGGGAGCTACATGTTTACTTAAAATATTTAATGAGAAGCTTCTCTCATGAGCTGCAAAAACTCTGCACAATTATGGAGCACTCTCTCTTCTTCATTACTGCCTTAATATCCAGTATTTGCCATGAAGCATGGCTGAAATGGAAGCAGTACAAAGGGCTCCAAGCACCTGCCATTATCATCATTATTACTTTGAGTTTTTCACTTATATGTAAGCAACTGGCATATTCATATTCGTATGTACATCTCTCTATGTGTGAGTGTATATATATTACAAACACACATATAATCCATCTATTCCTAATCTCAAAGTTGGCTGAATTATTCCCTTTGTTTTTCATACACATACAAAAAATATTTAGATTTGCCTCCATCTAAGACAGCTAATTTTTGCAGATATTTTGTAATTTATTTTGTAAAATAAAGGCAAAATTTAATGCTATAAAATCTAAATAAGCATCTTTAGTGGATTTGAATACACTTTTTCAATTTTCAACTTTTTTATGATATTGTAAAGGTCTATTAGTAAATAAATTCCACTTTAATTTATGTTTGTCTTTTAATATATTTTCTACTAAAAAATCAGGCTGTCAAGACAGGAAAATATTACTGGTTTGTTATTACAAAAACAAATGCAAATTTTTAATTCACGAAGAATAAAAACAAAACACTAATCTCATTACACACATAAATAAGATTAGCTGTGCACTAATAAAACATTTAAGACTTCACATACACACATTTGCACTTTGAAACAAGAAACACAGGACAATTTTTTATCTTTGATAGGTTTATGGCCTCTAAGAGAACATCACAGATCACAGGTTTGAGTCTAACTGTCGTTCCTGGTACAAAAATCAGGATATAAACCAGCCTTAAAGCACACTGTGTTAATAATGACATCTTTAGGCAAATACAAACATTCTGATTTGGGACGTTCTCTCTCCATCTAAAACAATCTGCTTTGGCTACCAAGTAGTTTGGTTTGTTATCCATTTAACAAGATCACAACAAGGAACACAGTATTTTTTCACCACATGACTAAGGGGAGAAATTTTCAGACAGGTTATTCACCCCCCAACCCCAAACTCCAAAAAATAAAAGTATCCAAGGAAGACAATCTGTAAATCATAAATGTGATCTAAGCAAAAAGAATATTGGTCAAATCATTCACTTTCAAGTATGAATGAAATAAAATGTGCGTCTGGTACAGAGAGGTGCTAGGATGGGAAGGGATACAAAAGGTGTAAAATGAGGAAACCATTATATATAACAGGAAAGATTGGATTCAGTTGATTTTTTACATGAGGTATAAGTATATGACAGTAAATGAAAAAAAAAAAACCCAAAATGCACATTTCCAGTGGAAAAATCTCTAAACCTCTTATATTTTCTTTATTAGATTAGACATTTCATATACAGCAGTTAATCTAGAAAAATACACTTAAAAATTTTTTCAACAGACCATGCTCCCTGTAACAAAACCTTCTAAACCCTGTTTTATTATACAAATCAATATACATTAGTAATGTAAAAAGAAACTCTCAAATTTAGCAAAGTAATTTTTCGTCCAACATCCATCTAATCCATCTAATTTACACATCGTTTCTACTATCAGACTGGAGAGTTAGAATTCTCTAATAAATTTTTTCTAATGTATTCTGTACAAATTAAATAAGTCTAAAAGGTTCCTCTTGTAGTGCATTTACCATTTAGCAAGTTTATTCAGTATTTTTCCAGTACCATTTGCATTACAGTAATCTGCCTGTAAATGTAATTAAAATCTAAAAGTGCGTACAGTTAGTTTCTTAAGGAATGGCCTACTTTGGAGGAAACCTAATGTTCATGGAGAAGATTACCAATATCATGATTAGAAACAAAGGGTTAGAATGTACTCTGAGACTATACAACACAATTATGTACACAAGCTAAAGAAAATTAGTCCTCAGACCATATTTACATCAAATAATGTTTGTTTCCACAGGGTCATACCAAGAACTCGTATGGCACGAGATATAATTAGGACTGTTAGCTACAATTCACCATAGCAAGACAGCTCAAAAATACTCTGAACTGAGTTATGCTAAATAGAAATCCAGTACATCACAGTGTTTTAAGTAGGATTAGTGTGCTGCCCAAACAAGCAACTACAATATCCAGTGAGGATGCTGTGTATCACAGTAGACAACAGCAAGCCTCACCAAGAGTTACAGTTAGGTTACCACAGAGTCTAGCACTTAGGTTGCCACTGCATGCAAAACCCTGAAAAAGAGATACACAGGTTCAAAAAGCATATACTTCATTTGTTTTAAATGCCCAGAGTGTTTTCAAAATAACTGATTGTAGGTATTGTTCCACCAAGTGAAGATCATGAGAAGAAATTCTACATTATCCAGTTACAGGGGGGAAATGTAGTTTTTCTTACCAAATTATCCAGTGTATATGACTGGTTAGAATTCTGACTTTTGATTTATACTGAAATTCAGAGTATTAATGCAAACATTCAGGAAATGAATCCAAGAATTACAGTTTTATCACCTCACAAGAAAGCAGCAAACATGAAGGCCTAACAGGCATTTCCACACTCCCCTTCCCTTCTGACCCCTCAACAAGTGCAAAATCAAAAAAGCCACTGCTTGGTCCCAAAACAAAACACACTGCATATAAAGATCTGAAACATGATGGAATCCAGCTTCTGTCCCACAGGTTATCTTCCATAAGAATCATCGTCCGAAGATGGAACTTAATTCCAGAAGAATTAATTCTACAATCTGATTCTGGTAAACAGTATGAACTGCTATGTTACCAGTCTCTTTTTCTGGCTTTAATAAAGTGGGACCAAAAACAATTGCTACACTCTGATAGGTCATTCGGTTTTTTTCTCCATTTTCTATAACTCTAAAGAAAAGGAAAAAAAAATTGTTAAAAGAGAAAACTTAAAAGAGATGAAATTTTCAAATTGTATCATGTCTAATAAGCTGCATTTAAACTATTTTATTATATATATATGTATATATATATATATGTAATTATTTATTTGGGGGGTTCTTTTTGAGACAGGGTCTCTCTATGCAGTTCAGGCTAGCCTTGAGCTCACTTTGTAGCCCAGGCTGGTCTCAAACTTGCAATGATCCTCCTGCCTCAGCCTCCCAAGTGCTGGGATTACAGGCATGAGCCACCACACCCGGCTATTTTTTATATTTCTGGTACCGGGGAAAAAACTCACAACCTCATGCTTACCAGGTAAACACGTGAGCCACTGAGCTAAATTCCTGGCCCCACATAAACCTATTTTAAAAAGCAAAATTCAATCTGAATACCTCATGAAGCTTGCTTTTGAGTAAACACAGCTGAAAAGTATAATTATACATACTGCAACACACTTTTTCAGTGTGTGACCTTTCAGCTTTTTAAAATAAGATGCAGACTTAAATGTGTGTTACAATTCAGGTAAACATGATTCATGTGTATGTGTGTGCCACAAACAGATGATGATACTCCACTAGGGTATCAACAGTAAATACAACTTTCAACTGCACATATTTTTAAAAAACTGAGATCATTTACTTTAGTATTCTAATGTTGTTTTAAATAGGAACACAATCAGCTATTAAAGTGGCTATGCAGTAATAAACCTGGGATAGTTTTATGTAGGGTAATTTAATGTATCCCAATCACCAATCTCATCTTCCTATTAACTGCAGCAACAGTGTTTGCACACTTAGCATGCGCTAAGTGTTACATAAATGTTTCACACATATGTACTCTGTTAATCTTCACACTGAACGTCTTCACGTAGGCAGAAGTAAGCATTTTTTTCTGGGTGACAGAGGGAGCAAGTGGCATCGCTGGCATCAAAGCCTGGGCCGGAGTAGCCCTCGCACTAGGGGCTCCCACCTGCACTGTACCATACCTCCAGGCTGTGCCGTTCTCTTACCTTTTGAGGTGTCTAAAAAGAATCTGCATTGTATCTTGATTTGGTTTTGGCAACTGTCTGATTAGATCCTTAACAGCAGCAACACGCTGTCTTGGTTCTTGTTCTGGGGAGGGAAAAGAAACTAGGTATTTCGCAGCAATTCTTTCGAAACTGAAAGCAATGACATAGTTTCAAAACTGGTATTTGGTAATATACAGTGACACCTGGTGGTCACATTTAAAATTTCTCTAATAAAATAATCCATTGAAGTCTCTGGTGAAGTAGGAAGAAACATGAAGCAGAATTTTTAGTATCTAGAAGAACACTGAGTGGAATTACATACTTACTAATTGCATTAACAAAATCATTAAAATGGTTAAATGTAAACAGAGGCTCTGGTAACTCTCGAAAAAACATTTTGAGTGCTCCAGTGATGACATGAATGTCTTCCCATTTGCTGTCATTTAAGTCCAATTTCTCATCTGAAAAACAGTAGAATCAGGCCATTTATAAGAATTACTTTTTAGCATATTCTAAAGCTGGGAGCGATGTTTCTGGATATAACAGTGAAAGTAAACTCTTACCATGATTGACTGCAAATCTCAGTTTCTGAATCACAGCAAGGTTGCCACTTACTCTGTAGATCCCATCAATATCCAAACCTAACAGACAGTAACAGTTTATGTTTAAACTATTTGCCTCTTCTGAAGATGTCTGTTTCAGAGTTTTTATTCATTAGTATTAGCTTAAGACCAAAGGGACAAATTCTTTCTCTAAATGGCTTTTTATACACATCTGGCAGGAGGAAAAGAGTGGCGATTCACTCTGAATTCTGTCTAATAAACAGCAATAATTCCACTTTGTTTATCATGTAGACTGTGGCTTAGCTCAAGCAAAACATTTCATTCATTAAACTTAAAATACAAACAATTTAAGATAAACTTTTGCAAACACCTGGGGACAGTTAGGAGAAGAAACCAGTAGATAATATCAACCTATTCATTTTTTTTTTTTTGCACAAGATTTTGAAAGGTAAAATGCGCCCATTGAAAAACTCTTCAAAGTATTTGATAATGCTGTACATGTTTAATGAAGCACATTATCTAATGGGCTATTCATTTATCTTCAAATAAAGGCCACTAGTGTCTCTCTAATATTATACTGACAAGAAAAGTCAATGAGATAAGAGACCTATAACTGCCCCAAACTGCAAATCAAATTACACGTTTTTTTAATTATATAAACATTTTTAATGATATACAGATGTAAATTCATGATTATAGTTAATATAGTCAACTCATATAAATGTAGTATAAATATTTTTACAATTAAATGGAAATAGGAATGTCTATTTTTAGAATATGACATTAAAAGATTCTTCATCTATTTAGTTATCTTATAGCTACTTATAGTTTTAAAATGCCATCTCATTTCTAATACAGTAAAAGGAACTTTCTTCTTACAGGTAAATATAATCTCAGATCTCCCACACTTCCATCATTTCTTAATAAACTCAGTCTTAGAATCAGCACCTTCTTCATTTTAAGCAAATAGTAACTCCAAATGGATTCCAAGATTATCAGATGCTTAATTAATCATGACATATCAAACATTCAATAGATGTCTAGGAGGTCATAAACACGCAAGTTTTTGCAAACAAAATGCTTTTCTTAACATCTAGAACCATAAGGAACTTTTAGTTGCCTCAATAAAAGTATTTCGATGGTGAAACAATGAGCCGAGTAGCTTAATGTGGAAATAAAATCACTCATTCTCTTACCATGTTCTTCGACATGCTCAATGCATAACCTCACAAATTTGGGCACCGTGCCATTCTCTCTCTGACACAGATTAGCAAGATTGGCTCCAAATACTTGATCTAAAAGAGATTTATTTTTAAAGATGAATCACCTTGCTAGAACTTAGGGAATGGCTGAATCACTCGGGATGCATTACAAAATGCCCCGGTACCCCAACACCATTCACTGTGACCTGCACCATATCTGATGGCAGCCTGCCAACTTCTTTGACTTCACTTCAGACAATTCCTGAACACCAAAGCTCATTTTTGCCTGACAGCCTTTCTACTTTCTACTCATTTGGCAGAAAACAAGTGAGGCTCCCCACCAAATCTGTCTCTTTCTCTTTACTCCTGATCGCACCTAAATAGTTACCTCCTTAGAAAAATCTAACCATCCTTCTCCATGCTATCCCAATTCATAGCTCTATTTTACTATTATGTCAGAGTCAATGTATATCTGCCACCATTTCAAACTACCTTGTCTACTGCCACCTAAGTACAAGTTCCGAGAGCGCAGGGAGCTGGCAGTTCTGACACCAGTATGCAATATTCATTGCACCCAGGCTTGTGCATAGATTTATTAAAAACTTGAGTACTGTTCAAGTTACAAAGCCAAGGCATAAAAAATGGACAAACAATGACAGCACCAACTGTTCTGCTTGATAACTAACAGAGCTTAGTAAGATGATCTATCTCATATACTCAAACACACACTTATGTGTAAACCTACAAGTTGTTCTTTCTTTTCATGCACTTTCCCTTTCATTATTACAATTTCTATTATACATTCTGGATCTTATTACTCTTTCAGTTTTTTATTATTATTACTTTTACATTTTTTACAGTATTTTTTGCTTTTCTCTAAATAAAAGAAAAAAACTCAAATATTTTTTATAATGATCAAAACATAGGTATGCCCAACATGTGCCAATATTTGATCCCACAGAATTTATTTCAGAAGCTATTCTATTAATCTTCTATCTTATTAATACAGAAACTCAACATTACACAAAATATTTGGGAAAACAACATATTTGAAGTGATGAATAAAATGATACTGCTTTTTATTTTTCAATGAAAATGCCTCATGAAAAATTAGTAACTGTTTTTCTTAAGTTAGTTATCGGGCTTTATTTGCTTTTTAAAAGCTCGAAATATAACCTGCCAATTTGCATGCTTCATTCAGGACTATTTAACTCTTTAGGGTGCTAATCTGAACTCGAGTGAAACCAATTTTTGTATTTTAATTTAAATGCTCTGCAAACAGATGTTCTGGAGTTAGCATTTGTTAGAAATCTTAGACATAGCTGTATGTATTACATGTTACATTACCTTAATTTGCAAATAGATGTCACTGTTTTGAGTCATGACTTTAAAAATTATTTTTACTTTTGGAATTAAACACACATCTAAGAATTAAAAGCATATACTAGGATAAGTGATTTTAAAGAACACTTCCCTATTGAAAAAAATCTCAGCTGGGCATAGCAGTGTACCTCAGTAATTTCTAGCACTCTGGTTGAGTGAGGCAGGAGGATCACAAGTTCCAACCCAGTCTGAGAAATTCAGCAGACTCTGTCTCAAAATAAAAAAAAATTTTAAAGGGCTGGGGATAGAGAACTTAGTGTGAAATTCCTGGTTTGTGTTCCCCAATACCAAAAAAACAAAAACAAAAAGTTAAGTGACATAAGGAATGTATAAAATAAATTAAGAAGAGAACTCTCACTAATTTTAAAAGAGCTAAGGACAAACTGTCAAGAATAAAATTATTTATTATTCTACTGTTAATTTACTCAAAATTTCTAACTTCTGATCTTCCCAGTGAAAAATTAAGGCTCTTCAACCACGCTCTAAAAAAATGTCTGTGTATTACTTCTCTGGTGCAGGTTTCTAAAAATTTAGTTTGGTATTTCTGTCAAAGACAAAGTAAACTTAAAACTGTACAAGTATATTTTAAAAATCAATTTTGATTACTCAAAATGTCTTTTAACCATTGTATCTGAAGTTTATGAATACAGACTGGAAATATTTTATTAGTTTTTAATATGAAGTGTCTTATTTCTCGATTTTGACCAACATTAATTATTAAAAACATTACTTATCCCACCTACCTTTAATATAACCTTTTTCACGGACAGCTTGTAAAGTGGGGCGTCGTGTAAGAAACTTCTTTAAGTTTTTCTTGGTTTTCTTCTGTTCTGAAGAATCTATGCTAGACACTTTCATGGCTTAAGGTAAACAGATATTAAACATTTTGTAAAATCGTTTCTGATAAAAAGTTGTTTCCACAAAGCACTCAAACATATTCTGGTATGTCAAAATCACAGTATAAATTCATAGTCCAATTATGATGTAGTTTAAGAATACCATGCAAAGAATCAAACACAGACCCAATTTTAAATAAAGCATTGCATTTCATCACTAAAAACTGACCATATGTGTACCTTCTTTGGTGTATGTGTCAAGTGACCCCTAAATTATTCTAATTTATATTCATTACTTCATGAATATTCAACTATCATCTTTGATTCTCCATCAGCTTTAGAATGTAAAATAACTACCCATATAAAATCTGTCAAATTGATAATCTGATTAAATGAGGAGTCTTGATAATATATGTATTTGTGGTATGAGCTAAGATGCATCATAAGTATTTGCACTATAAGAACATAACTACCTGGAAAATGACCTGATTAAACAATTATAATAATGAAATTTAAAAATTGTATTTTTTGAAAGTAAGTGTTTCTGGGGAAAGTTGAGAGCACAAAAATATAGTAATAAAGAATAAAAAACAACCAAACTTTCATATTGACATTGCTCTACAGTGATAATGCCATAATAGGTCTAATCTTCATTAGAATGAAAGCAAAAAGAACTGATTTTCTATTCATTCAGTGAATCTGAAGACCAAACAGTTCTCAAAAATGTGAATTAGTTAATGTTATGGTTTGATAACTAGTGGTCAACTTAACGCCAGCTGGATTACATCAGCATGCATTGAGAGAAGATGCTCCACCTGAGAAGGGTTGCCAGGATAAATAGGTGGAGAAGAAGAGAGGTGTGGAGAGGGATTGAGGCGTTATGGAGGCATTGTTAGTTCTCCTACAAGTTGCTGCCTGAGCTGTTGGTTCTCCTGGAGAAGCTTTGGTCCTCACATCGAGCATTGCTTCCTGGCTCCAGAGGGGAAGACATGTGCTGCCTGGTCTCCAGGGTGAACTCCTCACGCTGCTTCTTGGCACGTTCCCGACTGTGCTTGTCATCGGAGGAGCTCGAGGCCTCCTTGTCGCTGAGGACAGCTGTGGTTCCTTTCAGGACAGCCCCGCTCTTTGTTGTGAGTGTGACTTCTCAGCTCCAGTGTAGAACCCTCATCCCACTAGCACAGCTCCTTCATCCTGCTGGCATGGACTTTCTGGCTTCCACCGCTGACCCTTGGGTCTTCCCGGCACGAATCCGTAAAAGAGACTGGCGTGAGTCCTTGTGGGCCCTGGACTTCCAGCTGGACTCGTGGAGGCATTGTTCTGAGCTCTGGGTTTTTATCTGGACTCATGTGGGACATTGCCATGGGGTTTAGACTCTTGACTAAATAATCTATGTCGTTGGTGTTGCGGATAGATTTTCTGCATTCTCCTGTGTTAACTTCCGGTGACCATTATAAAAATATTATAAACTCCATGTCCTGATTTGAATTGTCTCTGTGTACAACCCCTGACTACAACAGTTAAAATGCACAGAACTGAATGAAACAGAGTCACAGTCAATGGCTGATTTCAATAACCTCCTTCCCAAGGGTGGGCCTCAGAAAGGGCTTTTCTCAAAGTTGCTGGCTTCACTCTGCTCCTTTCTGTGTACACCATCGGGAAATACGAACCACTCACCTGTGCACAGCCCAGCTACCTGCTAGTCCAAAGAGCTGCCGAGTGTTCAACCAGGAATTAGGTATACAGCCCCAGTTCTACACTTAAAAGTCTAAGACTCTATGTGGAATTTTAAACAATTAACTAAATTTTTAAGTCAATAAAGCTGAATTTCTATGAGAAAGAAAATTTTCTGTTGTGGTATTAACATCAAAATTAATATACTATAGGTAGGGATTCACAGTATAAGGGAGAAAAGTAAAACGAGTTACCAAGAATACAAAACACTGGACTGTACCTAATCTTGTAACTTTTCCTCACCCTGGAGGTTGTACTCTACTTTTAGTATAAAGGTATTTAAAACCTCCAAGATGTCTAAGAGAACAGTTCATTAACAAAAGAAGGAAAGAACAACTTACAACGAAGCTTTTTAAGATCCTTCTGGTCCTTTTCTTTATCTTGCTTTTCTATTCCTGGTGAATCTGGTATCTCCTCTTCTACTGCTTCATCAGTTTCTACAGCCTATTGGTTAGAGGTTTCCCATACACACATTACTTCCTATATTACTTTAGTTGTAATAGCATAATTTTCAGAACAACCAGTAACTGTTATCTATGACTTTAGGAAACCAATCAGTATGCAGTATATATGATTTAGACATTTGATAAATCTTTTAAAATATCTTGCCCCTCGAGATCATTAATTTTGATCTGCAAAAAGAAGATACTGTTGGTAATTCACAGATTAACAGTTTAAACTGATGGTGAGATTTGTGATCTACTGCACGAGTGGTACTACTAGCATTTAAAAGGTCAGGCTAAATTCATGGTGATAAAATATAATACAGCTACATTTTGTGACAATGTGTAAGGCTTACAGATGTAACAACTATATTTTCTACAACAATATAAGAACATTAGTATTATACTGTGACGAGAGTGAAAGATTAAGTCTCACGGATGTACAGGGACATTAAGATGTGAAATAAATCCTAGAATTTATCCTAATCTAGGTAACTTTTAGAGATTAAAACTGGACTGAAATCTGAAAACTAAAACCTTGCTTATGTCTTTTATATGGAGGTCCTTACTGGAAACTTGGGGAGGTGGGTATGGTACAAGGAGAGTCCCCTTCTTCTTGGGTATCCAGTTGTACCAGCAGCATTTACTGAAAAGTTCACGTCTCCTTGCTCTGCTGCAGTGCTTTACCCGACTTAGTTCTCTATCCAGCTCCACAAGTGTGCGTCTCTATCCCTGCCTGGGTATCACAGTGCACGACTAACCCCAGCTTTTAAGAGGTGACATATAATCCAAGTCCTTTTACTTCCTTCAAGAGTCTTCTTGGTATTTCTTAGCTTAGCCCGTTGCATCTCCATATGGATTTTTGAATAAGCTTGTCATATTGCAGCAGAAAAGTTAGGATTTTTAAAAGTTTACAAATCTTTGAAAGAAAATTTTATCTCTATAAGTGAATCTTCTAGTACATGAATACTGCATACTTCTCATTTAATGAGGTTTTTCATTAATGTCTCTCAAGAAAGTTTAATAATTTTCCTTGAGAAGTCTTCTGTATCTCTTGCTACATACAATCCTTGGTATCTTTTGACATTTTGGAAAGAGTATGCATGGTACCGTTCCACAGTCAATAACGTACTCTTCCCTTTACTTGGCCTGTTTCTTAATCCTGCAGGCCTCAAATGAAAAATACAATAGCACTTTCCCTGCAAGGTCTCCCTGACTACTACACTAGGTCAGTCCCTGACCAGGCAGTGTTTCTAGATTATGTTGTATGACTTCACATCCTAACAGTACACTTAGCACCTTAATTGTTCAGTTATCTGTCTGTACTCATCTCTGACTGCAATCTCCACAGGGGAAGCTATGGCGTCTGAGTGCCTGCTACCTGTCCAGGGAAGAAGCACTTACATTTTGGTAAATGAAAGCATGCACATTCATTCAAGGACAGTGAACAGATTACTGGAAGTCCACAGTGGGGATAGTAGAAGGTAAACATGGACACAGTGGTACCTTGGTTCACAAACTTAATTCTTTCCATGATTCTGGTGGCGAACTGAGTCAAACATTGAATGTTGACCTTATGTGGAAATTTGATTTGGTTCACAACCAATTCAGTTTGCAACCAAATCATGAAAAGAATTGATGAATTGAGGTATTACTGTAATTAGATTAGACTTAAATTGCTAGAGTATAATGGGAGTCACAAAGTTTCTAAACAGAATCGTGACATTACAAAGTTTCACATAACAAAGGCATAAAGAATGGACTGATGAGGGAAGAGATTTAAAATACTGGAAGTTACTCTCACTGTGGCATGATGATAGAGTGTATGGTTTTAGGAATAAAAGGAAAGGAACAATAGTCAGAAAAATCACACAATATCACATACTGGAAAGGCTGTATTTATTTTTACACAGCTGCACAGACAACTGCTAGAAAAGGTAAACGTCCCCTTTTGCATCCCATCAGTATCATCTGTCACTGATACGGGACTCTCAGTGAGGAGCAAGGTGCCTGCATGGTGAAAGGTGAGCCCAGCCAGTCTGAAGATGTCCAGCCCCAGGTGCTTACCTGGATTCAGAATATGAAAAGTGAGGTTCTTTCTGTTGTTATGTGAGTAAGAAAGTTACCAGGAACAGAAGGGTGCTGAATACCTTCCAAAGGTATTGTGGTTGATACAGTGTTAACCTGAGAAGCTTAGAAGTTTAACTGAGAGATTCAGCAGGGAGCCAGGGTCCTTGCTTTGTAAACATCCTCATCCTGGGCAAGAGGAAGGCACAGAGATTTTGTGAGTGCTACACTCACTCTGGAGCATGGGATGGGGGAACATGTGTACAATATAAAGGAGGAGTTGAGGCTCGTTCCCCTTTTGCTCTGGGCTGCTGCCTTGAAGTGTTGCTCCAGTGCCAGGCCACCTGGCCTTGTAGCCAGTTATTATGGACTGAAACTTCCACAAACTGGAAGCTAAATAAACTTTTCCTTCCCTAATTTTGCGTGTCAGGTGTTTTGTCCCAGCAATGAGAGAAAAGTAACCAAGAGAGAAGGCAGGGGACAGAGAAACTGGAGAGAGGTCCTTAGAATACAAGAGGTATCAGTGAATGGACCACAGATGCACCATTCCACAAGTTTGTCTAGAAATTTCCACCAGAGTGCTATTTCCAATTCATTCAGTCACTGAACAAATATTAAGTACCAAGAGATGTCTGTTCCTTCTTTTGGAATCATTTCTTTTTTTGACCTACTCCTAATGTAATAAACATTATTTCAAACTCAATGGCATCAAACAAGCAGAGAGAATATTACATCTTCCCATCACCATTCCTTGTGAACTACACTAAAGTGGCTACTATCTTTCCCACCTTTTTCAAAACATAAAGTATCTTTTACTATGCAAATTAAAATCTAAATATATAATAAGCAATAGAAAAGAAATGCAGTTCTGCAATAAAAACCCTACCTTAGCAAACACTTACCTGGTTACTGATAGTACTGCTAAGAACTTTAAACCAATCATTAATCACAGCATCATTATCAGACTGAATTAGCAATTCTGATCCTTGACGAGTTTTCAGCTGTAGAGAAAAGGAGAGCAAGTGAAGGAAGGAGAGTAGTTAGCACAGCACTTTAATCAAAATAAGCAAACACATTTAATTCAAAGTTTACAAAACCTCCTGCAGCAAGTGAGGTGCCATGGATTAACAGTACTATACAGCTATAGAGTATCTTATAGTATAAAATAATACCAGGTTAGCTATTTTATAAAGCATGAGGCTATTTTTCGTAATAAAATCTTTTTTTTTTTTTTGGTACTGGGGATCGAACTCACGTCACAACCTTGCACTTGCCAGGCAGGCACTTAAGCCACTGAGCTAAATCCCACAGCCCTCGTAATAAAATCTTAATGAGCATCTAGTAATTCAGGATGCCAATCTCAACTCACAAATTCCATAAACTGGCTGAAGCTAACATAATTTATTTAAAAGTAAGGAAGGCTGTATTGAGTACCAAAGAGCTTAAAATTATAACTGAAATATAAAGAAGTAGTTTTCACAGTCTGAAAATCTTACTTATTTGGTTATAAAAATAAACATAAAAAAAGACTAGAGGTAAAAACTCTACCACCAAAAGACTTACATTTAATGACCAAATTCAGTAGTATAGCTCGATACAAATCTACACTCAAAAAAATCAACAGCCTTCCTATATACAAATAACAAACTTACTGAGAGAAAAATTAGGAAAATCACACCTTTCATAATAGCAGCCAAACCAAAAAAGAAAGAAAGAAAGAAAGAAAGAAAGGAAGAAAGAAAGAAAGAAAAGAAAGAAAAGAAAGGAAATACCTAGGAATCAATCTAATAAAGGAAGTAAAAGATCTCTATACTGAAAACTATAGTACTCTGAAAAAGGAGGTTGAAGAGGATATTAGAAAATGGTTAGCTCTTCTTTACTCTTGGGTAGGAAAAACCAAGATAGTGAAAATAGCCATACTTTCAAAATTATTATACAGATTTAATGCAATTCTGATCAAAATTCCAACAGCATATCTCACAGAAATAGAGAAAACAATGCTAAAATTCATTTGGAACCAGAAGAGACCTAGAATAGCAAAGAAAATTCTGGGCATCAAAGGTAGGATAGGGGGCATCACAATCCCTGACTTTATATTACAAAGCTACTGTGATTAAAAAAAAAAAAAAAAAACAGTGTGGTACTGGAAAAGAAAAAGAAAAAAAAAAAAAAAAAAAAAAAAAAAACCAGACCTGAGGATCAATGGGACATACTAAAAAAAAAGCAGAAATAACTCCAAACACACTAAGCCACCTTGTCTTTAACAAAGGTGCTAAACACATTCTCTGGAAGAAAAGACAGCCTCTTCAATAAATGGAAAAATTGGTTTTCCACATGCCAAAGATTAAAACTGGGCCCATCACTTTCACCATGCATTAAACTAAAATCAAAATGGATCAAAGATCTAAATATTAAAACAGAGACATTAAATCTGCTGGGAGATAGAATACACAGAACTCTTCAAACTGGTGTAGGCAAAACTTAATGAACAAAAACAATTGTACAGGAACTATCACAAAGAATCAAAAACTGGGGTCTCATCTTATTAAAAAGCTTTTGCACAAGAAAAACCATGAACAAAGTGAAGAGATGAACCACTGTGTGAGGAAAAAAATTTTGCCAGCTGTTCCTCAAACAGAGGATTACTATCAAGAACACATAAAAAACTAAAAAAAGAACTGACAAAAAAAAAATCAAGACACCACAGCACCACGTAGTTTAAAGACCCTATCCAACACTGGGCATCTGAGATGAACACACTTCTCAGATGAAGTACAAACAGCAAATAAATATATTTTAAAATGCCCAACATCACTGATCATTTGAGAGATGCAAAGTAAAAGAACACTGAAATAAGAGTCGAATGGGTAAACAGCTGGGAGCTCAAAATGCATTAGGAGTAAAATGGAAAGTGCTCACAAGCTGGCAGTTCCAGCAGATACACACAGAACTCAGGCAACTCCTGCTCCAGGCTGGGGAGGTGCACAAGGCAGAGCCTGTGCTCCTGCGCCACAGACAGGCAGCAGCAAAGACAAGAGGTCACTTGCTAAGGACCAGTGCGTGTGAGGTTCTGGACAATCCCATGGAGCACAAGCAGGTGACAACTGGGAAAAAATAAAAATAAGTAAAATAATGCTGAGATTCCATCTCACTCCAGAGAGAATAGCTGTCATTAAGAAATCAACCAATAACAAATGCTGGCAGGGCATCTCCACTGTTCATGGAAGTGTAGACTGGTGCAACCACTGTGGAAATCAGTGTAGAGATTCCTCAAAAAACTAGGATTGGAGGTCTCACTCTATCCAGCTATACCCATTCTGAGGTATATTCCCAAAAGAATTAAAAGCATCATACCACAGCAATACATGCACCCATGTTTACAGCAGCACAATTTGTAATAGCCAAATGGTGGAAACAGCCCAAATGCCCATCAACTGGTGAATGGATAAAGAAGATGTGAGGTTTTTATACAATGGAGTGCTACTCTGCCATAAAGAAGGACAAGTTATAGAGATATTCCTAGGTAAATGGATACACCTTGAAATCATACTTTTATATGAAATAGACACACATGTAAATACCACATTCTTTCTGTGGTGTGAGAAACCAAAAGTGTAAATAAGGACCAAAATAGGTAATAGGTATTGTGAAATAGGACAAAAATGTACAAGTGGGGAGGGGTAAAAGGGAAGGAAAGGGGAAAAGGAAGAAAACATGAAAACAAAGCTTTTGTAAATGAGGAGGAGAGGAAGAGTTGAAGGGAGGGCAGGAGAGTAGGAAAAAAAGAATCAAGTTATGTACAGGTACAAATTCTCTACGATAAAGATGATCATTATGTATATCTAAAAATGTACCATAAAATCTGATTTAAAAAAAGACTTGGCATAGATTTTTATTATTTCCTACTACATAGCCAATCATATCGCTTGAGTACAAAGACAGGAACAAACAAGTAAGTATCACATCTCTTTTGCGCAGAATTATTACTAAACTGTCAAATCATGAATTGAAGACAACAAATAATTCATGTATAACTTCTTTGGTTCAACATGTCTTACACTACATTGAGGAAGAATTTTGAGGCAATTATGGAAAGTATTCATTTTCTAGTTCATGACTGAATTTGTTTTCCCCAAAGAACATATGGTAATGTTTCCCAAACAACATTTCAAGCATATTCCTCGACCACAAATAGTGCTTAAAAAGTATTACTTCCTGAAGGAATGGTTGTCATCACACACTCAAAACACAAATGCCAGTGAGACTGTGGGGAAAATGAGCCTTTCTACATTGCTTGGTAGGAAAATAAACTAGTTCAAATACTATAGAAATCAGTACAGAGATTCCTCAAAAAACTAAAAATAGAGGCTGGGCATGGTGGAGCACACCTGTAATCCCAGCACTCAAGAGGCTGAGGAAGGAGGATTGCTGGCAAGTTCAAGGCAGCCTAGGGCATAAAGTAAGTTCAAGGACAACCTGAACTGTACAATGAAACCCTGTCTCAAAAATAAAACCAAACTAAAAATAAAAATAGAAATGCCATTTGACTCAGCTATACCCCTTCTGTTTATCTTTTCTAAACAGTAAAAGACATCACATTACTGTGCTACAAGCATACTCCCGTTTATAGCAGCACAACTCACAATAGATGAATCTTGGAAATGGCCTGTATGTCCATCAACAGATGAATAGATAAAGTGCGATATATACAGTGGAGTGCTATTCAGCCATAAAGAAGGATAAATTTGAGTGATGTGTGGGAAAGCAGATTCACCTTAAGACCATAATGGTAAGTAAAACAGATCATATACAAAAAGTTAAATATTACATGGTTTCTCTTATATGAGAAACCTAAAGTATAAATGACTTAAAGAGCAAACTAAAAGACAGAGACAATAGGAACAAAGGAGACACAACTTCTGCAGATGAAAAGGGAATCTAAGGATGAAGTGTGAAGGAAAGGAAGAGTCGGAAAAGGGACATAAAAAGGACTAAGATAAACATACACAAAATTTTTTTAACTTTTTAAAATGAAAAAAGACTTCAAGAAATAGATCTGAGGGGCTGAGGATTTAGCTTAGCGGCATAAGTGCCGGCCTTGCAAATGCGTGGTTGTGAGTTCAATCCCTGGTACAGGTAAAAAAATAAATTAATTAATTAAATTAAATTAAATTTAAAAAAAGAAATAGATCTGAAAAATCATGTAATAATTTGGAAAATACTGGAATGAAGGAAGTTGAGCAAGAAGTTTTCCTTCAAATTTTCTCAGGCCTCTGATATGTTAGGGTACACTGTGACTAAGATTCATAGAATATGTACTACTTCTAAAGGTATTTGACCATGGAATCTTTTCATATTGTAGGCACCTCCTGAGCTGCCCAGCTAAATGTGGACACGGTCACTTCCTCTCATGCACCGTTCTATAGAGTTGGGCAAGCCAGCCAACCAATACTGGACGCTCAGTGTGATGTTTGTTAGAGGTTCTACAGAAGAAGTGTCTCTGTTTGAGGGCAAAAGTTTAAAAAAAGTAAATTTAATAATTGTTAGAGGTTGTGTTTGAATGTCCCTCCAAAGCCTCTTGGTCATGAGGAGGGGGCTTTCAAAGGAGTCCAGTGTTTGTGAGTCCAGTTCATTGTCTAGCGATTACTGGCAGTGTGAGCACCTTATCCACCCAGGGCTGGGTAGCTGGTGTACAATACAAGGGAGAGAAGGAGGCCTGCTTCCTCCTTTTGCCCTTTTTGCTCTTGTCACCTTTGGAACCCTGCTGCCACCATGAATGGTTGCCCCATAACCACGCCACTTTGTCTTGGAGGCAGCTGACTCCAGGACTGAAACCTCCACAAACTGTGAGCTAAATAAACCTTTCTTTCCTTAATTCTGGGTGTCAGGTATTTTGTCCCAGCAACGAGAAAAGTAAACAAGACAAAAATCTAATGAAGGGGCTGGAGGTTTAGCTCAGCAGCATAAGCGCCTGCCTTGGAAGCAGGCAGTCGTGAGTTTGATCCCCGGAACCGATAAAAAGGAAAAAGAAAAAAGACAAAAAAAAAAAAAAAAAAATCTAATGAAAACTCAAAATACATTAAAATAAATATTATTTTTAAAGTTAAAAAAAGAACATCACTGTTGTGACGTCCATCAGGAGTCCTGGAAAGTAGATGAGCAGAGACTAACGTGGTGAATGAACAAAGTAATAACCACACTGTTGTACTTGAGGAACAGCAATTAAACCAATCTGCCTGGATGACAAGAAAGGGGTTTAGAAAGGGAAGCAGATGTCTGGGACACACCACAACAGCCCCTCAAGATCCCTCTCATCTCTCTATGTACATCTCCTGCAGTGGGTCTGCTGTTCCTCTGGACTTTTATTTCCTCATGACCACAAGTTACTGCCTGGCCTTCCAAACTGTTGCAGCTCACAGAATACACCCAAAGCGTGGTGACTAAACGTGACCACAAAAGAGTTTAGAGTCTTCATCTCTCATGCTCCTGGGACCCTGCCACTGTCACATGAAGCAGCCTGTAGTCACTTCCTTGAGAATGGAGAGGTTACAGAGAAAAGAAACCCAAACCAGCAGCCAGACCAAGTATCAGCAACATGAATAAGGTCACCATGGCTTAGGTCATCACATCTCATGTCTGGTGCCCAGTGAGAACAGAAGACAGCACACAACTCAGCCCGAAGGAGAAACAAATGGCACTTTCACTAAGCTGCTAGGTTTTGAACTGGTCTACTATACCATATTTAATAAATGATCGCAGATTATACATTATTGTGGAGAGTTTTGAATAAAACAGTAGAAAGGTCTTGGTTCTTTTTAAAGATTCTGTCTTATAAAACTGGTTTTAGGTCCACAGCAAAACTGAGAGAGTATACAAGCTACTGTATGCACCCCTACCTCTGTATGTACACAGCCTCCCAGTATCAGTATTCCCTTCATTTGTTTTTAAACAGTAGAGCTGGCAAGGAAAGGGAACTATATCATTTTACTGTGGCAGGGGAAAGGCAGGATTTATGAGACAAAGGCGTGTAATATACAGTTCCAGTTCCTTATGTAAATGAAGCTGATTTTTATACCACCGTTCCCCTACACTATGGCATAAACTGACAATCAATTTTGCCTCAACTATAAGACAAATGAAAGACTATTCCCCCAAAGAGAGTACACAATTACTATAGTTAAGAATGTGAGCTGTATTTAGAAAATAAAGTATTACCTCAAATACGTTCTTCTTGCTGGATTTATCCCTCGAGGCCATCTCAATCGTTGCCCCCCTAAGGTCCACTGTGAACTCTGGTTTGGACTGATTACTCCCAAACTTCATTTTAGAAAAGAAGAAAAGTCTTTATGTGATATTTGCACATACGTTTTTAGAAAGAATTAGTATTTATATTGTTAATAATAAATCAAACAGAAGATTAGCTTGAATTGTCCTCTTTCTATAGTATAAGTAACAACTGCTACTTTAAAACTGAAAAATCCTACAAGTATGAATATATAGTTTACAAAAAATAGAAGTGGCCCAATTTCTATACACGACCACACTGAAATCTGCTTTTTTCACCTGTAAGAGCGAGAAAAATTACACTGGTGAGGCTAGAAACTGGCAGGCCTCATACACCAGCGGGTATGAGACTGTGATCACCCAAGGTAGGGAAAATTCACAACACTACGGGCTACAGTCTGTGGACACAAGGATACGTTGACTTAGCACCTCTGTTTCTTCGAATTTACCCTGACTGTATTTGGCTATGTAAGCAAAACATGTTCAGAAAGGCAAGGCAACATTCTTAAACTTGTATAGATAGTATCAGCCAGATACTAACTATACTTTCTACTAATAAACACTCTCTAATCCCAATGTTGTGCTTTCAAGAGTTATTTCCTTATCAGTTACTAAACTAGAAAGATAGAAAGCCCAAGCCCATCTTTTTTCAGTCTTCATTAAAAACTGACCCTAAAGCCAAATGCTAACTGTAGAAGGGAGAGGTGGTTCTGACATGGGTGGTTAAGGGAAAAAAGCACTTACTTATTATATTGTGTAAGGCAGATAAAGATAAGGAGATTAGCAAACAGAAATGTACTTTAGAAATGTACTTGTTCTGTATTTGGGTATTACTTTTCTGTTAGTCTGCTATGAATACAAAACAGCATCCCTATGGTACTAAAATAGATGTTTTAAAACTTTTAAAGGCTGTTTAACTGTAATCTAAAAGTCACAATGTTGTAAATATTTCTTAGTTGATAAATTTCATTTGCTAAAACAGTGATGATACTGCATGTCAAACTGTGATAATATTCATTACTTCTAATCTCAATAATTCTACTTAGCAGCTTCACAAGTAAGAAACAGATTTCAACTGTTTCCTTTTCATCTATTTAGCTAGTAGTGTGGGATTAAAGCACTTTTTAAAACAAAACAGGAGTCATATGGACTTTAATAGGAAAATTATAATAAAAATAACAATAAAATTTTAACCACTTTAAAATTTTAGCCTCCTCACATACCTACAAAGTTTTGCCATGTTAAGTACTTTTGTCATCCAAAAATATTCAAATAAATTTATAATGGACAGAAGTAACTTCCCAAGCAGAAATGATGTATCTCAAAAGTAATAAAGTTGGAATATACATTTTAAAAATGTAACAAAAACTGACTCATTCCTTGACGTTATATACTGTATAGATGGTTATATAAGATACAACCATCCAATCAATCAGTTAAATATAAATATGATACCATGAAACAGAATGCTAGAAAATGTAATCAATAAGGTTGGGCAACAAATTTTTTTCTGCTTTTAACGGTTTTCCAGAACCTAGTCCACTTTACTATAATCACTTCCCTGCCAATGTAATCATGACAAAAAAAATAAATTGTGCCAAGGGGTATGCAACAAGAACACATACAGTAACGGGTGAAACTGGATCAGACTTTACAATTGTGACAGCAGGCCGATGACTGACAGAATTTTTCCAAGAAGAAAACAGCGAAAGCAAGAACTCAGAGACTGAGCCCTGTTGGCAGAAGGACTTGATGGGAAAAGGGAAGAAAATAATGTCATAACAATGCACAATAACAAAGTGACACAAAAGAGAAAAAAGCACAATGGAACCAGATAGGACAAGAATATAATTCTATAGGCAGACACAACACAAGCAGAGCTAAACTTCCAAAATACTCTTTTAACCCTCTAGAATTTATCTCAGAGTATTTTCTGAATTTTTACTACATGAATTTGTGCTTCATTTTTGAGATGAATGCTTTACAGAACTTATCTTAAAATGGACTTATCTCCCTCTATATTCACAAAAGCATATTGGAGGGGTAACAGAAAGGACTCTGCTACCTTGCTCAGTCTGCTGCTCAGGAACTCCTGGGCTTCCTCCTGCTAGTCCCCTTCCTTAGGGACTTTTGGGAGTGGCCTCCCCTCTAGCTTGCCTGCCTCTTGCTCTGGGACAGAGGCGAGTCCACCCTCCATGAGACGTCCAGCAACATCTAGTTCTCTCAGCAGGGGTGCAGGTGCTGGTCACCTGCTCAACACCTGTAGCACACAGGTCAGCCTCTTCATTCACCTACCACAAAGGCTGTCTGCTCAAAATGGTGTTTTTGTATAGCTAAAGCATATAAGAATATTTGTATAACTACTGGTATTTAGAGAGAATTTTTTAATACTCTTAATGGTAAAGCCAAAATATTACCACATTGTAACTATTCCTTTGCCAGTCCTCCCTACTAGACCGAAGCACTGAAGACAGAACCCACATAATTTACTTCTAAATCCCCAAGCTTACAAAAATGCCCACAGCACTGTAGGCTTTATGACTACTGAACAAATGTTTACATTTCTGAAGCGAAATGAAGTGACAGAGAGAAGAGAAGAGAAGAGAAGAGAAGAGAAGAGAAGAGAAGAGAAGAAAAAAGAGAGAACAGAAGAAATGAGCTTGTTAATCCAAAATATTATTAGGACTTTGCAGAAGACTATCCTGAAGGAAAAGGAAAAGTTCACTGAAGTTTTGGTTGGTATAATCTGTAAAGTAGAACTGAAGGCAGCACATAGGTATTTCATTTACTGGATTCTAAGTACTCAGTCTCTGAATAAATAAATAACATAAGGGATTTAAATCAGTGAATGCAAATGGTGTGGGCAACTTTGCTCAGCCTCCCATCACTGAGCATGTGCCCCTGAGGGATAAGAGATTTAACCTGTTTGTTCAAGTGAATCTCTCAGCTTTTTGCACTAACTATGAATCTGATTTTTAAGAACTATACTTCTCTTAGAATGTCATCCCTCAACAACTCACTTAAGGACACCACAGAAAAGATCAACTTTTCTGCCACTGAGAAAGATCAGCTTCAGAATATCACCTATGATTTTTGTCTTTCAGGCATTTACACTAACCTTGTACCATCATCCTAAAGAAAGATGTGGTTTCATCAGAAAAACAGGATATCCATTACTGCAGCAGATCCAGCTTAGCACAAAAACAAAGCTACAATTCTTTCCAATCTGCTGACCTTTGCGAGAAGGAAGCACAGTACTGGGAAGTGATGGCAGGCCTTTTTCAATTTTCAGACAGGGTCTTGCTAAATTGCCCAGCTTGGGCTTCAGTTTGCCATCGCCTGCCTTCCTGTTTTCCAGAGTCCTGAGATTATACACATATGCCAGGGAGATCTTGCATACTTCGCCTATTTTTGATAGTTCTAAAACAGTATTCAACAAAATATACAAACGTACGTTTTACTTAGTGTTACTTGCTTTTACTTTGGCCATTTAAATTTACTTTTAATCCCTTAATATGTGGGATTGAGTCTCAGGTTTAAAAATTAGTCATAGCTGGGCATGGTGATGCACACCTGTAATCCTAGTCCCCAGCCCTCAGGCGGCTGAGGGAGGAGGACTGCCACAAATTTGAGACCAGCGTGGGTTACATAGTGAGTTATTACATACATACATACATAAACAAACAAATAAATCAGCCAACCAGCCAGTCAGCATAAATAAAAATTAAGAATTAACAACTGGGTGTAGTGGTGTAAACCTATAATCCCAATACTCAAAAGTTCAATCAGGAGAAATGCTGTGAGTTCAGTATCGGCCTGAACTACAAAGTGTGAGTGACTCAAAAAAAAAAAAAAAAAAAAAAAAAAAAAAAAGGAACAAAAAAAGAATTCTATAGGTTCATATTGTGAATTGTGTTTTGCCATTCCTACACAGTAACATAACTTTAGGTGAAGGATAAATCCTGCACCTTTGCTGGCATTAACACACTTTCTATGCTCTGAATTATGTAAGATATTCTAAAAACCTGAAATAAAGACAACCATCCCGTACCAATGCTTGGGGCTGGAGTTTCAGCTGGTATCTTTAAATTTAAAAGGAAGTTTTCATTCTGTTTAAATCATGTACAAACCCACCTATCTACGTGATGTTTCACTTACCATGTTGTTTTACTTCTTTATCTTACACACCATTAACCTCTAATCTCTAAGGATGGGTGATTATCAAATAAATGAGCACAATGCAGCTTGCTGCAGGTACTTTGATATTACTTATTAATCTCTATAATTGTTTCTCCATTACTTTTCTTTCATCCATTTTCTTTGCTCAATTTCAAATACAATTTGAGCCACAAGTAGGAAGAAATAAAGAATTACAAGTGCTTCAAAAATACATTAACACATACACACCAAAAAGCACCATACACTTTACCTCAGAAGGAAAAGGAGAAAGACATAATAACCAAAGTACTTTAAATAAAATTTAAAATTCCCATCTTATAACACAGAAGTGTATCATGGGTCATTTCCACTGTACTAGCTGCAGGGAGTAAACCAAAGGATTAGAGAAATAAGGTAAGAAATATTCTAGAATGTTCATGGGTACTTTTAGGGTGCCTTAACACAGTAGGGAGCTAACAGGCTGTATGGCATTCAAGATTGTGTTATAAATATACATGACTAAAAATTTGCTTACATTTTATAAATGGATTTCTCTTTCATCAAATTTATGAACCATCAGTCATATGTTAATTTTATAGCAACTCAATAACTGTAAGGAAATGTTGGATTAGGTAGCATATGAAGCAAACCAAACACATTTAGAGTATTTCATTTTAAATTTTATTTGAACACTGACATTTCAAACTAAATTACTGAAAATTTTTAGAAATATGAGAAAAAAATAAATAAATAAATAAAAGAAATATGAGAATGAACTCTGGAGCCAAAATGGTAAGGTTTTAAACCCTGATCTGCCACTTAGTAAAAGTAAGGCCTTAAACTGTTTAATATCTCATTTTCTCATCTATGGTAAGAGGTAGAAGAAAAGAAAAACAGACCACTCTCAGTGTTAGGAAGATAACCTGTCACTAACCTGTCACTTACTAATAGCTGAAGATTATTCAGCACGCAAAAATGCTAGCAACGGTATGCCACAAATTATACCTGTAGTATTTACATTACAAGTAACCAAAGAGTAACAATAGCAAACAGTCAAATATGCAAAAATCATCAAAATCCCACAAGTGATGTTACATTTTTTTATTCTAAAAGCTGGCTGGCATCATCCACAGACACTGATACCTGAGTCACATCACAACACAGGGTGGAGTCTGCCACACCACGGCTCCTCTGACTAAACATCTCAAGTAAGTCACATCACAGAAACCATTCTGAAAAATGAACCAAGCAATGTCTTTGTTTTATGATGCCTGAGAAGCGAGCCCATCATTCAGTTCCAAAAGATAAAACAGTCAGCTGATTTTAACAATACAACTATTAGGCTTTTCTAAATGGTCCTCTTTCTCTTTGAAGAAAACCTGGCTTATTTTTACATGCACACATACTGTAACTAGGACTCTCAAAACAACTTCCTGAAATGGGAGTGTAAAACTATCCACATAATTTAAGTGTATAAAGCCTCCAAAAATAAGAAATACTTACCCAACTTGTGCTACTTCCTTGAGTCTTGGTAAAAAGTAAAGATGAACCTTGCAACACCGCCCAGGAAGACAACCAGTTCTTTCTGCAATTATAAAGATGACCAATTAAAGCTCTAGTATTCAGGTCTTCCAACTAAATTTTAGATATCAAAACCTAATTAACTGTCACCAATGTTATCTACAATTTACAGTCATTGCTGACATTCTGCCTACTTTACTGAAGATACGATGCTAGTAGAATTCAGTTATTTTATAGTCCTAACCTGATCATAAATGTTCCAAAACAAATGCAGCTTAACAGAAATACAAACTGTCAGAATAAACAGGACCAGAACACCTCACTATCTTTACATGGAACTAATCTAGCACACTGTGTGATCAAGAAACCACTTTTAAGTCATACAAATGGAACATCATTCTTTGCATGAAATCTTATTTATAATTAAAATTTAGACCTGTTTACCTCATTCATTTCTTCATAGATATTTTACATTTCTTGATTATCTCCTTCCCCTAAAATGAATGCCCTTTAAGGCAATAAATACTAGACACATTGTAAATATACAATAATTGATTGATTACTGGAGTTACTATTATTGAGATAAGGTTTTTTTTTAATAAAATTCCTAAATTACAAAAACAATAGACTCAGACGTGGTGATGAACACCTGTCATTCCAGTACTCGGGAGGCTGAAGTAGGAGGTCTACCATGAATTCAAAGCCAGCCTGAACTACCGTAGCAAGACCCTATCTCCAAAAAACCGTAACAAACAAAAAACACAAAAAGCAGTATGTATATATAAAACTACACATATTGACTACAGAAATATGTAAAGGAAAAAGCGCCCCTCTTCCTCTCCCTCTCCAACCGTACTGCAGAGGTAACAGATGTTAAGTTTGGTGTACGCGGAGTTTTTAAAGGAGAACTGTCCACTTGTCTATTGTCTCATCTCCAGAAATGCTACCATCAGTGTGCTGAGACTTTAAGTGATTAACATCACACACTGTCCAGATTTCACTCAACTTTTCCCTTTGTTGTCTTTAATTCCATTTAGAAATGTTTGTTTCAATGGTTCTCTCTTGTTGAAATTATGAATTATGTGAAGGCAAAAATTCTTTCATTTATTTTTTTATCTACCTCAAGGCCAGCAAAGTACTTTACAAATAGCAGGTATGGATCAGTGCTTGCAAGTAAGAAAACAAAATTCTCTTAAAATGGAACCCAGTTGCTGGGAGAATAAAATGCATCTACTATAGAAATTTATTAAATTTGTTTAAATTCACAAACATGGCTAGCCCTGTGAAACCTACATAGACAAGCCAAAGGAGATTTTTTATTTCATATGATTTTGCAATTTATCCCAATGCTTTTTTGCCTAAACTGTCTACTATCAAGATCCCTATCCTTGTTTTATTTTTTAGATCTTAAAACTGACTTTTCATGTATTTAAAAAAAATCTTGAATCAGTTTTAGTTATTTCTTTTAAATACAGTACTTAACTGGATTTGGCTCTATGTTTCAATCTGGATGGCTTTGTTTCAATAGATGAGTACAGACCTTTTGTGTTGATACTGATAGATCTGGTGTTTGTTCTACTGCCATTTTGTTGTTTTTATGTGTGTGTGCATCGAAATATTTCTACATGACTTGTTTTTATTATTTTTTTCTTTTCAGTACTGAGGAATGAACTCATGACCTAACACTTGCCAGGCAGGTGCTTATACCGCTGAACTATATCCCTATCCCTGTAAATACATTTTATACTCTTAGGCTTCTACTTCTTAGCTACCTTTTAGTGATTCCCTACAGTGAAAAATCTTTAAATTAGCGCATTTTAATTTTTTAAAAACTTTCTAATTTTCAAAACAAGAAAACCTATACAACTGCACTTATCACATACACAAAAACTAAACCTTTCAAATAGAAAGAATTTTAGAGAATGTCACCTCCTTGAATTTGATAACTTCCTAATACCCAATGACTTTTCTAATATCACTAATTTGTGATTCTTTGATAGAATACAACAAAATATGTGAAGCACTGGAAAAATATGTAAAACATCTAATGACTCAGTCCTTTCAAACGACCTACAGTACATTCTTAAATTACACATGACTGAAGATTTGTTCAAGCACAGCAAAGGCTGCAATGGCTTTTAACTGAGTAGGAAAAGTTGGTAGATTTTCAGTTTTCACTGCAGCTAACCTTTAAAAAGTTACCATTTGTAGTTTTGGCATGGCAAAAAAAGAAAAAAACGCACAATTATCTGAAAAGGCTGTTAAAATTTTCCTTTTTCCAATGTTAGCTGCGTAAGAGAGGACTATTTTCATATATCCTAACCAAAATAATGTCACAACAGACTGACTGCAAGCAGATACAAGAATCCCACTGTCTTGCACTAAGCCAAATACTATAAGGTTTACAAAAACACTGCTTTTCTTCTCATGAATGTTCTTGTCTTAGAAAATAAAGGGTTCCTTCTTCACAAAATGTTAATTTGTAATAGGATATTTTAAAAAGAATCTTAAGGTTCCTCTCACCCTAAGTAGCTATGGACATAATGTATAGACAAAAGCTCTTACAAATAACTAGTATTTTTTAATAATTAACAATTTAAAAAATTTTAGCAGGGTCTTCACACCAAAAGGTTTGAGAACCAATAATACACAGGCGACTAACAGGCTGTTCTGCACCATTCCACGTAAGTAAATTTGAAGACAATGAAATAGAAGCTAAGGAAAAAATTCTGAAGTGATTCAAAGAAAAAACTCAAAAGACTAATTACCACAGGAAAAACAATAATGAAAACAAAAACAAAAACTGTCAAAGAGCTATCTGTAATACATATATCAAAACAGAGAAAAAAGAAACAATTCAGAAATAAATTCTATCAAGAACACATAATTGCAACATTCATAAAGCAATTTCAGAGCATTTTAAAAAACTTGCAAAAATCAATTTGACAAAGGCAACTACATTCTCAAAACCTAAAAATGTTTAAATACTTGCAAGCCAGGTGTAGTTGTTCACACCTGTAATACCAGCCACCACACTAGGAGGTTGATACAGGACTGCAAATTCAAGCCCAGTAGGGACAAATCAAAGAGACTCTGCCTCAACATAAAGAATTTTGAAAAGGGCTAGAGATATAGCTAAGAGCAAAGATCCTGGTTCAATTCCCAGCATGGAAATTAATTATAAATTTGAAACTTTCTTAGTAGAATGATTAATCTTCTCTACAACCTCATCACAGGTTGTAGAACATTTAGCAGTTTTTAAAACTGGGGAAATAGAATTTATCTTACAGAAGTAATTTTAACAGGATTATTTGGATTAGGATCAAAAAGTCTACAGCCTAACAGGAAAAAAGGGCATGAAAAGACAATTCAACAAAAAGCACAGATAGCTTATAACTCTCCACTAAAAAAGAATATAAAGTACCATTTTCTCTTTAATCTTTATTATTGGCATCAAAGAACCTGACAATATATTAACTAGGCAAAAGGTGTAGACAAATTTACTGTTACTGGAGGCATAAAATGATTCAGTAACTCAGAACACACTATCAAAATCTGAACACTACTAAAATGACCCTGCATGCCGGGCATGGAGGAGCACAACTGTAATCCCAGCACTTGGGAGGCTAAGGAAGGGGGATAGCTGTGTTATATACCAGCCTGAGCTATAAAATGAGTTCAAGACCAGCCTGAACTGCATAGCGAAACTCTGTCTCAAAAAGACAAAAATTAAATTAAAATAAAATATAATAACCTTGCATATGGTAGTAATCCCAATTGTGTTAAGTTTATCCTACAGGTATATTTACATACTTACAAAATGAACTATGAAAAATGCTAAGTGTAATACTGTTTGTAAAAGCAGAAACTGCAAGCAGCCTAAATGTCTACCACTAAGGAAAGTCGCATACTTACAAATTAAAAATGGTTAACTACAATACAGAGATAACTAAATACACTGCAGTTAAAAACAGTATATGGCTCTGAAATGGAATCAACTCCAAGATAAACTGGAAAAAGGGTGTGTTCAAAACTCATCTGGGAAGCCACGGCAGAAGAATTGCAAGTTCAAGCCCAGCGTGGACAACTTTGCAAAATCTTGTCTCAAAACAATGAAAATGGCAGGGGATGCAGCTCAGTGTGAAGGCCCTGGATTTAACCCCAATTTTAGGCAAAAATTTCAACACTAATAAATGATGATGACGAATACCTATGTACATACAAACATCTACATAAATATCCTGCTCTGGAAGAAAGGACTTAAGGAACTGAATGCCAGGTGACTGACTTTTCACACAATAATAATCTTTACCATGTGGATTTACCATGTATAATTGCTTATTGAAAAATAGGTATTAAAACAAAGTGAATGCTTCCTCAGAATCCTCTACTTTAATATCTCTGAATTTAGTATTATTTGAGAAATATTTCAAGACAAAGGAAACGTTTCAACCATTTCATGACAATCTTATACACTGCAGCACTAAAAAAATGTATTAGAAATTCTTTGGTTCCAGAATGTAATTTATAAAATTTTTTATTCACTTCAATCAAATGAATTGTGTAAGACATTAAAGATTTGTGTACTTACCGAACTTTCTTCCCATTTTCAGTAATTTTTGTTACATTTAACAATCCATATTTCTCTTGACCCTATGGAATAGAGTAATACTACTTACGCATCATTCACATAAACAATGATGTTCTAAAATGCAAATGAACCAAAATGTTCTGGCTGCATAAAAATTAACTGAAAAGAAAAGATTAGTAAGTATGTAACATACTTGTTTCTAATGACATTAAGAGTACAATTTTTGCCTGGTAAGTGCAAGGTCGTAAGAGTTCGATCCCCAGTACTAAAAAAAAAAAAAAAAAAAAAAATTCTAATACTTTTGGTAAAGTTACATTCGATAATTTTATAATTAAACACTTTCTTCTCCTAAATCATACACTTTGTTATCAAATTAGATTTTCAAAGAAACAAATTTGCACCAGAAAAATGATTTATGTCTTCCTGTTCAAGGAAAGGGATACAACGCTATAATGATAAAAATTGCAAGAAAATAAATCTGAAAAGTACTCAAAATAGGAATCTACTCTGCCAGAATGTAAAAATAGGCAAAATACAAAGACTATTTAAAAACTTACTCAGAAGTAACTGTACTTTGCATAGAATTGGCTTTAATGTGATACAAAACTTTCAATATGTGCTTCATCTGATCACATTAAGAGGAGAGTTAGGCTCTGAAAAACACTAGATTAGCCCATTAACGCAAAAAACGAAAATGTGATGCCAAAAAAACTTACCATCAGGCCTTAGGACAACAAAAGCCATTATGCTAGTTATACTATTGGTGCTATTTTAACTCTTTCTAGGTAATAAAAAGCATTTTCTCACGGTTTTCGCTTCCTAGAGTCAAATGAACTTTAATACTTAGATTACTAGTAAGCATTATATGGATATGACAGTTGATTTTAATTCAACTGAAATGCATGAAACGCAAACACATACATACAACAAAACTATTTTCATTTCAGAATTTATTTTTGAATATTTAGCTGATTCTTCAGCTGTATTTCCTCAAGATACCTTAACCAGAAAATATTCATTTTATATGGAAGATAAATACTTGAGTTTTACTGAGTTTTAATGTTCAAAAGTTTGAGTGGTTTGATGAAAACTCTACCTACAGACCAAGCTGAAAAATTATTAGTTAATTCATATTTTTGCTATAGTATTTGGACACATGTGCTTTTACTGTATTATTTTGCAGAATGAATAGCTTTACCCAAGTTTGACACTTTTCATAAAAACTATTGCCTCATAACAAAAACATCATTGCATAATTGCTTATGGACAAGATTTTTTTCTAAGAGCATTCTCAATCTCTGAAGCAAAGAGAAGGCTTTCAATTACAAAAACTAAGAAACTGCATTAGTCAGAACAGATGGACACTGGTTATGGGAATTGGAATTGTAAGGGCAGAGATGGGAATTAAAGCCATTTAAAAATGCCACAGGTGAGATGATGTGAAAGCAACAGAGGCAGGATAAAAATGTAAGCATCCAAGCAGAAAGAAAAATGGACAGAATCACGGTAGTGACAGCCTAAGCCTATAAGATAAGAGAGACTGTCTAAATAAGGAATACTTACCTGAATCAATGGATGAACTGAATCTGGTGTGATACTGTGCGTGCTAAGCATTGTTCAAAGGATCCAAAACCCTCACCAAATTCTCAACAGGGATCCAAGCCTGAATGCTGTAAGCATTAAGCACTCTAACTCGAATCTTACAAAAACAAAATATCCCACATCAAATCTAATGAAAATAAGTTGCCACACAATGTGGTAAACACTATAAGAAATGCATACCTAACTCGGTGAGTGGATGGGGGAACCAAGCTCAACCTGAGGAAGAAAAGACAATCACAGACCGCTTTCTGAAGCAAAGGAGTGAGAGTCAGCAAGGTGGAACTGGGGAGGAGGGGTTTGAATATAACACACTAGGGACAGAGGCCAGAAAGCCAGCATCTCTGGAGGGCCTTCAATTTCCCTCCAAGTGGTAAGGGACAGAAGTCGCAAGAAATAGACAGGAGAAAACAGAACCAAGAGAGCAGCACAGCTGGGAACCCACTGGGATACTATTTGGGTGAGGAATGCAGGCGGCAGCAAGGGAGGCCTGGGTCCCAGAGCCCAATGACAGAGCCTGGAGTGAGGGAGAGGGGAGAGCTGTGGCTAGACAGAGTTCTCAGAGAACCTGCCCTGATCATCCTCCCAGGCACTCTCTCGCCTCTCAGAGGTAGTAAATAACCTGTTAGCACCCCACCCTGCCCAGTGTGATTCCCTCATCACACTTTACCATACACTGAAAGCTTCTGCCCTCCAAATTCCTACGTTAAACCAAATCCCCAATGTGATGGTACTTGGGGTGACTGGTAACACAAAGTGAGTCCCTCACGGCTGGGACTGTTGCCCTTCTCTTTCCTACCAAGTGTGAGGACATGCCCAGGAGTGGGCCTCGGCATACGGCCAATCTGCTGATGCCCAGAGACTGTAGCCTCCAGAGCTGTGAGAAATGCGCCTCTGCTGTTTATAATCTTATAGATTTTTGTTACCGCAGCCCAACAGAACAGACACCTAACTAAAAGTACTACTGCATGTGTATTTCATTTATGGTTTCTTGATTAAGCCGTGCCATGTCTGACCAATCTACATCTGGGGACTGCATTTAGCACACAGCGGTCAGTACAGATTAACAGGGAAAAATATAAAGTCAGCAACAGAAAAAACAAAGCCTTCCCTTCTAAACACCAAAGATAGTGAATTTGATGTAAAGGTGCCAAGTCGACAGATGGTGATACAGGCTTGGATATGCAAGGTAAGAGACTTGAAGAAATATTTCCCCAAATAAGACGAACTTTTATTTCACACTGTGTGGTTTATTTTCAAAATATAGTGTGACTCACAATTAGTGAATGCATTTGTGCTGCTCACTGAGGTAACTTCATAAACACACCTTAGGCCACCAGGCATGGTGCCGCATGCCTGTGATCCCACAACTTGGGCGGCAGGGGCAAATGTTTAGTGGGTTTGGGTTTCCTTCTAGGGAGATGGAAATGTCCTGTAAACCAGACAGAAGTGACAGTTGTACTCAACTGTAGTAAGTGCCACCAAATCATACACTTTAAAGTGGTTGGTGGTTAATTTTATGTAATATGATCTTTACCTCAATAAAAAAAAACCTGAAAGGTATCATTTGAAAATTAGATATGCAAATCACATTTAGAATAAGTACTACTCAATTTAAAAATAGCAAATTTTTAAATTGCAAAGTATTAGCAAAACTAATACTCTTGTTTTAAAAAGTATTGAAATGTCCTTTTCTCCAAAATGTTTGGCACACATTAACACTGCGGTTCAGTATTCAAGGTCAAAAGTTGAAGTTTCCAAATTATATGTTTTAAAATGTTTCTGCATTCAGTAACTGAGAAGTTTAAAGTACATACACTCACAGGCACTCTGGGCCAGATAAGGAATAGCCTCTAGATCAGTCCACAAAAACCTGCATAATTCACATTCCAGTTGCCTTGCAGAAAAATACTAATTTTTCAAGGAGTATATATGGCCTAGTAAAAAAAAAAAAAAGATTTGAAGGGACAATGAAAATAACAATGCATCTGAAAACTGAAAATGAAGCATAAAAAAAAAAAATCAACACTTAAAATTTATGTTAAGGGGTAGAATGTTAAATCTTGTCTGACTAGAGAGACTGAAGAGGGGCCAGCCATGGTAGTGCATGCCTATAATCCCAGCATTCAGGAGGCTGAGACAAGAGAATCACCACAGGAGATCTGAGGCCAGCTTGGGCTACATGGTGGATTCTGGCTGGTCTGAACTACATAGTGAGATCTGGGAAAGAAAAAAGAAAAGAAAGAAAAAGCGGGGAAGGGAGGGGGGGAAGAAGAAAGGAAGGGAAAGAAACACCCCACCTGGTGTGCCAGTTCCTCGTGCTGGCCATTGGCAGGTGCTGTGAGTTACGTTTGGGTCTAGCTGCTGTCAAACTTTTCACAAAGTAGATAAATGGCTGGGGAAATAATGTCAATGGTCCTTGGAAAGTGTACATAAAAGATTTACAAATATCTTTTTCTAGGGTCAATAAGAAATTCATTTTCTCAAAGTGCACACAATCTATACAGGAGCCTTCTAGGAATTGTACACTACTTATATTTAAAATAAGGGGTTTTTGCTTTTTTTCCCTAAATGGGCTAACAGGAATACTGTGCTAACAGTGCCCTCAATTCATACAGTAATTCCTGCCAAAACCACTAAAATCATGTTCATTTTTATCTTCACCTAATGTTTATGAACCCAGTACTAAGTTAGAAATTTAAAAGACAAAAAGTAGAAACATGTAGTCCCTACATATAAACCCCCTGTGGGTTTTAAACCTAGCGAGGATACTTAGGATACATGAAATAACTTGCGTTTACTGAATGTACCAGGTGGTCTGCAGGCTCAGAAGTAGGAGAGAGTTGTTACCTGAGGCCAGGAGACAGAGCCCAGCATGAACACACACACCTCTGACTCCACCGCCTGGTGCAGCTGAGGCAGGACACAGAGGCCAACCCAGCTCTGGCAGCTTAATGACCTAATGAGACGGTGTCTCCAGATGGAAAATGCAAAGGATCGGGGCTGTAGCTCAGCGCACATCCCGTAGGGTCCACCTGTAGTACCGGGGCAGAGCACAAGACTCGAGCCATATGTGAATGAAGCCAAGCCTGTTCCACACAGATAGACTGCCCGAGTCAGCGTCGGGAAAGGTACAGAGAAACCTAAGCATCTGAGCACAGAGACACACTCTGTCACCTCAGTCTCATCACTACACAAGGTATTCTCCAACATCACACTGTAGACAGTAAGTATGTGCAATTACTAGGTCTAGTAGAAAAAAAACTAAAAGAAGGAAATATAAAAGATAGGGAATGGAGAAAGTTAGAAAACTCAAAGAGTATGGAAGTCTCTGCCTCTGATGAGGAGAAATCTGAACTCTGACTAAAAAATAAGTCTACTGTATCACAGCTTCACAGAATAGGCAACTAACGATACAAGCTTGTCTTTTAAAAACCTTGAAAGTTTTATTTAACATTCACTCAGCAAATATTTACTGAATAGCTATCACGTGGCCCTGCAGTGGTTACTCTTCCTGCTTTCAGGCTTTCCTTTGTGTAATGGGAAGATAGGCATAAATAGAATTGGAGATTTTTGCAGGATAGAAGTAATGAAAAGTTACTCTACTTTATGAAATCAAGCAAAATATAGTTAAATACTATTTAGAGTGTACAATGCAATTCCCTGAGAAAGTTAATTGAACTGAGCCCTGCAAATGAAGCAGGCACACACACAGGAGAAAGAAGTCTTGCCGGCAGGGAAGTGACGCATGCAAGGACTCTGAGTTCATGGCAAGTGTTAGGGGACAGGAAGGGAGAGAAGGCACAAGGAGACAACAAGCGAGAAGAGAGGAAGAGGACCCAAGGAAGGGGAGATAAAGTGGAACGGTTCCCATCCGCACCACAAACTGTAGACTTCATTCTAAAAGGACAGGGAAGGCACTGAAGGGCAATCCCACGGTCAGCAAGATGGGAAGACCCAGACAAGTGTTCACACAGAGCCTGGTAAGCTTCATGGCAGCCATGACGCTGTTGGAAGAGAAGTATGGGCTTAGAGGTTTCCTAATTTTCGGAAAACAGAGCTGAGACGCAGGGCCTCCCATGCACAAGGGTGTCTAGGCTTGTTAGGAAGGAGAGGCAGGCTTCTTACCTTTGCACTGATGCCCTGAGTAAAAAAGGGTAAAGCAGAACTGCATAGCCTTCTCTGGGAATTTCAGTATTTATTTTTAAAAATCAAATATAAAGCAGTCATCTAAAAATGTGGTTTATAAATTAAGAATGTTAGACACAGTATTTTGGACAAAGGGGGTATTTTAAATCAATAAAATCTGATTTTTAATTTTAAATGTTTTAATTTTATTTCTTCCTTTAAAAAAAATGTTGTGTAGTAGAAGCCCAGAAAATAGTGAAGCATTGCACTTTATAATTTACTGAAATTGACTATGACAACTGGACTGTTATATTGTTTCTACCATACTAACTGGGTCTTGGTGCTTTGGTGAAGAGGGAGAAGACTCATTTTCAGGAAGGCAGGGTTTTGAGGCAGTTGGAGAGTCCTACAAAAAAATAAGTAATGAAAAAAGTTACTCTATTTTATATAATTCTATTTCTCCCTGTACTCACAGTGGGAGAGCTTAATTAGGTCATCTAAGAAAACTATTTTCCTTTCTATATTCAGTTCTAAAATTAGTATGTTACTGGTTTGAAAACTACTGGGGTTATAAAAAGTTTACGATATATAGCAGCTTTTGTAGTGATTAAACTTTAATAATGCATATAAAATTACTTAAAACAAATGATCATGTTGGCTTAAAGTTATGATGTTGTACTAGTCTGAATTAACTATATTTAAAGGAAGTCTAAACTGTCCTAGAAAAATATGTATCACTCATCACACCAACGTGCTGTTGATACGACAGGTATAGATACATAGGATTAGGCAAAGAATACTCTCACAGGAATTACTGGATAATTTCCTAAAGAAAATGTTATTTTGATCAACAGCAATATGCTACACAGCTGTTTTAGTCAATAGCTATAGCCTCATAATACTTAAAATAATTTATAGCTAACTTTCCAGTGATGAGAAAAACGCAGAATTAAAACTATAAAAGGAAGAAAACTAAGATTTAAAGATTAATAACTCATAAGGAAAAAAATGTTTTAACATCTAGGTTTAAGAAATCCTAAGAGCTAACTAGCATAGAGTTTTATAATCAATGTGCTTTGTCAAAATTTAAAAATATAGGACTACTCATGGGGTTAAGGCTGCAAAACACTTTTTGGTATCAACAGCCTTGCTTCATTCAAATTTTCTCCACTTCAAGATACTTTGAATACATCTAGGAAAAGAGAATTTGTAAAAATTATATGCCAATATCTATTATTAATTTTCCTATCACTGAATAATACCTTTGGACAATCATTTCCAGATTTATATCATTTCTAGTTTTCTTATGAAAATTGGAAAAAATACTAAAAATAAGTCAGGGAACATGTTTGAAGTTAAGACTGTAAAAATCATTACTATTTGTTCACCTGGATCAAGATCAGGTTTTGTAAACAAAGAAATGAGTCACCTAGAAGTTTATAGGGAAATATTTAAGAGGGTACTCTTACAAGTCAAACACCCAATGGAAATATCATTAATGGGGAAAATACTAAAATCACATCAGAAATCTCTTCATAAAAATTAAACTTATTTTACAAATTTCAGTATACTCTTGAGCTTTCTGACAACTTCAGGTCAGTTTTGCCTTCTATTCATGGGTGTATTATTGAAACAGTCTGACAAAGAGGAAAGATTTGTTGATCCACAAACTAGAGAATAAGTTACTTGAATTTAAAGGAGTAATTATGATTTATTTTTCATAGTACTGCTAATCCTATAGAGACAAAAGACAAATGTGGAATAATGATGTGTGTGCAACAATTACCATTAGTATAAACGAGAACAATCTAACATTTATGAAAGTAGATGCATATGTAAAGAACATGCATCTACAAATGGGAGTTTTAGTAAAAACCATACATAAACTAGAATGGTGTCGCTTACAGTCTAACATCTACATCCTCCAAAGTTATCCTCAGTACCTGTGCTGCCCTAACTACACTTGCTACATAGCGCTGGGTTTCTTTGGTTACCTTTCAACTTACATATACTTCATGTCTTTTATAATGTATTGTTCTGGGTTTTTGTTTCTTTGGTACTGGGGATCGAACTCACAACCTCATGTTTGCCAGGCAGCCGTTTGCGCCACTGAGCTTAAACCCCAACCCTAATGTATTGTGTTAAGTTTTTTTTTCATTTCCTCAAAAGACTGCCCTTTTAAAAAAAGGTATATAAAGATGTGATCAAAATATATGGTGAATTTTTTTAAGTTTTCTAATTTTACAGTAAAGACACCCTGCCATTAATCCCTGAAAATAAATCTCCCTTGCTTCTAACACAACTATCCCACTGCTCCACTTTCTAAATAACTAGTACTAGAAATCCTCTTGCAAGAGTGTCTTACTGAGGTACAATCAAAAGTACAGTGAAGGCTCCTGCCAAATGCTACCCAAGAGGACGGCAGGCTTGTATCCACCTTCTTCACCACACCTGGCATCATGAGATTTCTGACTTTTCCGAAAGTCAAAACAATCACAAAAGGTACATATTTTTAATCAATTAAGAACATCAAGGCAGCCATGACAGTGCAACCAAAGACATGAATGAGAACTTCTACAAGTGGCAAAAATGACGTGACAAGCGTGTTCAATCAAAGTGAGGAGTATTTTAAGAGGGATTAATGGCAATGTGTCTTCTACTACTGATTTTAAAGTTTAAACATTCACTTTTTTTAATCACATCTCATATAGATAACGACAAACAGAAAAGTTTACTTCATGAAGCAATTTACAAAGGGAAAGGGGGTCATTTCTATTAAAAATAACTAATTGCAGATCTCAGTCATATTCTTGCAAATTTGAGCCAATTAAATCAAAGAGGAAATATAAAAAGACTTCATCTAAGTTATTTGAAGTAAACATTGAAGATAGATCTCAAGAAATTTTAAGTATGTACCATCAAATTATCATCTTTTATTTGTTCTGATACAAGTAGGGAATGGAGGAAATTTAACAGTGCCTTTTGTCCTGGAGTATTATACATGGTATGTAAGAGCCTTGATGAATTCTTCTATTAACAAAATCTCTAGCAATTTCACCTGCCTAGGCTAATGTCAATGCCATTTCCAAGTGTACCTTCAGCAGCAGACTCCAGAATGTTACTCCTTTAGTATGCCCTCTACATTCAGCTGTATAACATTCTTATAAAATAAAAGCTATCACTGGTCTACTTTCATTGTCATTCTTTATATCCATCTTACAAATGTGTGACAACTATTTTTATAGCTCCATGGAGGTCCACTATTAACATATGAAGGTCAATTTTATAGTCATGTATATCAAAATATTACTTACTTTGACTGATCAATTGAAATCAATTGTTTATATAAAAATTAGGACTGAAAGTATCCAAATACAGACAATACTGTATGTCTTAAAAGTTTATTTTCACTAACAAACTTAAAAAATACAGCAAAAAAAAACTTTGAAAATTTAATTTTGCTAAAAGAGAAACCTTATGGTCAGGAAAAAAAAAAAAAAAAAAAACAAAGAAAGAAAAAGAGTGAGTCCTTACTGATAGTTGCCTTTTTAAAAAATAACAGGCATGGTGCACGTGCCTGTAATCCCAGCACTCAGAAAGCTGAAGCTGAAGAATCACCATGATTCAAGGCCAGCCTGGGATGCACAATGAGAATCAGCCTCAAAAAAGCTAAACTAAGTAAGTATATTTAACTTAGGGACGTTACCACCACCTCTGCATTTTAATATTGGTATGTCTGATGTTCTTCAAACAAGTACGAGGTACCTCATCCCCCAAATGAAGCCACAATGGAAAGATGTGATTCCTAAAGAACATTTTAAAATGTTTCAGTATCTAAATTCTAATCTTTTCTGAGGCAAGAACTGTCTCCACTCTGAAACCTACAAAAGATTGAAGACATGCAAAGGATGACAGAAGTGACTTTAAAATGCCACTTATATGGACCAGGGGTTTAGCTCAGCGGTGTTAAGTGCCTGTCTGGCAAATGCAAGGTCATGAGTTTGATGCCCAATACCTGCATAAATAAAGGAAGGAAGGAAGGAAATCTGTTAGTACCTAATACCTCCTCCCCTTAATAAAATGTCACCTATCTAGTACATCAAGCACATACATCCCTAAGCTACATGAAGTCAGTCCACTGCAAAAACTGAAAAAAACCTCAAGTCAAAACCTATTCTACAAAAACAGATAAAACACTAGCCACTAAAGTATATAATTTAATTCAGAAAAAAATAAATAAATATGAGTACATTTCAGTATATGCAAATCAAAGGTTAAGTCAGCTCAAAAGAAATCAAATGTTTTAGCAAAGGAGCATCTTGAACCACACAGTATTACATAAAATGAGGTGTTAGAACAAATGTTTACAATTTATTACACAATGTAATATAAAAAGAACTTGCCAAAATTCTCAACAGGTTTTCCCTAAAGTCCTACCTTGTCATTGGTGTCCAATACGATGGTACTATGTCTCCACTTTGTTAATACTATTGGTTCCTGCAGCCGCCTATCCAGACTCCTACTTTTAATTATTTCTCTTTGCTGCTGAGACGAAGCATTATACTAAAGAAAACAAAACACACTTCGTAAGTAACAGAAACACAAGTGGAATCTAAATATGCTGGCTCCAAACAACACAAGGGTATTAGGCTCACTTCACCCCATGACACCACTATGAACTTTCTACCTCTGTTATCTCTAACCTACACACTAACACACCTGAGAAGACTACAGGTTCCAGTAGGAAAAAGGCCCAGTTGATGTTTTGTAAAATATTTAACCTCTGTAAGTCTAAGCTTTTCCAACTGAAAAAAAAAATATACATATATAACAAAATAATATCTTATTTACGAGGTTGCTTATAAGAGTAAACAAAGCATAAAAGGTACCAAATACTCTCCTGTTAGTAGATTCTCAAAACATGTTATAATTTATAAAAGGAGATTACTAGATAATTTTATCTTTTAATTTATAATCATGTTGATTATCAAATCCATATGATTTTAATTTTTGGTTTACATTTTAAAACTAATGCTTATATGTAAGCAATACTCTTAATATTTAAGGGTCTTAGGTTTTAGGTTGTCTCTTTAATTTCACTTAAAGGCCAAACATATTATTATTTTTCTCCCTCAGGTTCTCAAGGCCAATTCTGAATATATCAGCTGCATATAAAAAATAATCACTGTCAAAAGAAAACTACATATAAAATTAAGAACACATCACTAGGAAGGTATTAAATCCTGTAATTGTATAAAATCTCAAGAAGGTCATCAAAAGAAAAACATCTGAGAAATTTAAAGCTGGTAGAATAATACTGCCTTAGGTCATCTCCATAAATTATAAAATGACCAAAAAAAATTCTATTTTTAACAGATACATTCTTCTAAAATCAAAGAACATTTAATATCAACTAGCCTCACTCATAATTAAGAGTTTAGCAAATCTTAACTTTTAAAACTGATTATAGTTTTAATACCATTATATTTTAAGGATGTTGTACTACTTAAAATATCTTCCCAGGAGCTTTCTTTCCACAATGGAATTCTTTACTCTCCAGGATGAAATCATCTCGGCCTCCCCAGCTGTCTCCCGAAGTTGTTACTGTGGTCTTTGCATTATAATTTTCCAAAGCCAGGCAATCACATTTGGGTATATGCTTGTGACTCACTGTTTTTTGATAAACAGTAGTCTTAAGACCGAAGTTCACAAAATGACCATTTCTAGACTAAACAGTAATGACACTTAAAGGCCACCAAAATTTCCTCTGCCAGACATTCTCTAAATATAGAGAACCAATTAGCAAACAGGGCTGTCTTTTCCCTGCAACTAAGTCATCACTGGCAATAATTAAAACGTGCAGTTGTGTGTAAGCTTGTGTAAGACCCTCAATGGAGGCCTGCCTAGTTTTTGAGCTTGTAATACTCCAACTTAGAAATGATTTCGATGTGTACCAAGAATACTACAAAATTAAACTGGGTAATAATCACAAACTTAAATGTACTCAAAAGTAACAGTATAATCATAAAAAATGTTAGATACAGAATCTAACACACAAGACAATACACAGGTTTTTTTGGTACCAGGGACTGAACTCACTGCCTATACTTGCCAGGCAGTGGCTTGTGCCACGAAGCTAAATACCTGGCTGACACAAATAATTAAAAAGAAAGAAAAACCTTAACAGTTAAAACACATACACACATAGTCAAATTTTAAAAGATGAGCAAAATTAATGTTCTGAATCACCTTTTAAAAATTTTGTTTCAAAAACTTTAACTGAATTATTTTAATCATTTACACAAGAGCCGACTATTTTTTTAAAAAAACTCTCCTATCAAGCTTCAGCACATTAACATAAGCTATTTGCTTCAGTATTTTCTCCTGAGGAAACACTACATCTAGATCAGATGCCCACTGAATGCGGCTTCCCAATTCCACTTCTCTCTGCTTTCCCAGCTCTCCTCATTCACACACACTTCACAACGGAATACACTTATGCATCACTAGTATTATTTGACAGGTTTAAAAACAAAATCATACCATTGTACCTTTTTCAACTTTTTCACTGCAAAAATTCCTTTTAGAAATAAATCTCATGCTCTGACCTTGATGTGCACACAAAAACACAATTTTGATACAAGTGGACACGTGCAAGATGTTGACACTAGTTTTCACTCCTGCAGCAGAATACAATGCACGGCACTGCTCCAGTTCCTCAACACTCAATGCCGTTGAATATAAACTTTATGTATATGACACACAAAGTGTAACTAAAAAACACAGTAAATGTTTACGTTTTTTAAAAAATGTTTACAGGGAAAGACACACTGCTGTTAATGCACCCTCCAAATCCTGCCCCTCACTTTGAACAAACCTATCCTACCATTCTGGCCACTTTCTGAAGGCTTTCAGGAAATTCTCTTCAAGCATCTTTAGTTGCAGTGTCACTGCTGTTTCAACGTCCTGAATCAATTCAAAACATTTTACCTTTTGTGGTTGTTTTAACTTCGGGAAGTTAAGCCAAATGTCACCTGCCCCCAGATCCAGTGAATAAAGTAGGTAGGACACAATGTAGTATTTTTGCAGGCCTGCCCTGCCACTGGGTGGCACTTGGTAGCACACACTGTATTTCTAAACACCTCTAGTAATGACATTTATAAAAGAGGACTTGTAGAATTGTTTCACAAAGTGAAATGATGGGATAAATGTGTCTGAAGTAAGAGGAAGTTTTCTGAGGGGAATTAATGAATATGTGCCTTTTACTATAATTCTAAAAATTTAAAATTCACCATATATTTTAATCATCTTGCATATTTCTGCTGTATATATACATTTACACATGTTTTATATGTGTATATACATTTACATATCTTTACCTGGAGATTTAAATATTCACTGTATTGATTTACATTATTGTGAATGCTTAGAAAGCTAAAAAACTTTCCAGATACTGACCATTTAGTCAGGTACTTTACCTATGTGTTTTTAACTGTCTCTTATTGGTATATATAAGATTTCTCTACAACAGAAACATTCTTCGACAGATCCTTGTACAATTTCCAACATTTTGCTCATTAAATTTACATCTTTAATCTAACTGAAATCATTAAGCATGAAAAAAGATCAAGGTCTTTTATTATTTTACTGTGAATAATCAATCATCTTAACATCACGTACTGTTAAGTCCATGCTTACTCTACAGATGTGTAAGGCCACACCTGAACTCTGGGCCCTTTCCTACTAACTTACCATGTCCTTACATGTGTATATTTACTGTCTAATTACCCCAGGAGAAGCCAAACCTCTCCTGTCCCTCTCCCAATTTTCCCTGTCCAAAAATAGGTTAACTTTTCATGGACATCTATCTACAAATATGAATCTCAAAAGTATGAAAATGCATTAATTGGATACTGTTAGAAAGGGAAACTTCTCAACCCAGGAACATTAATATCTTACACTCCTTTAACAGGCATATTCTTAGTTATGGTTCTTACTGCTGCTACTATTAAAGTAAATGACATCTTTATTCCTATCATATTTCTAAGCTTTTTACCAGACAAATGCATGGTTTTTATGTTGATTTTATAACCAGGAACCTCTGAACTTTCATGCTTTAAGTTTGTAGGTTTTCTTGGATTTCCTAACAGTCAAAAATATACTTACAACTTCTTTTTCAACTGTATCTTTTCTTAATTGTTGAATAGAAGCAATGATAGACAATTTCTAGTCTAGTTCATAACTCAGGTGAGGAAGCTTCTGTAAATCGCACCATAAAGCATGAGACTTTATGTGGATCCTGTGACAGATAACCTTAAGCAAAATGTCTCATATTTGGAGTGAGTTTCTTCTACGTTTGTGTCATGGCATTTCAACCATTCTGACAGGTGTGTTTAGCCATTTACATTTAATGTACCTTTTTCTATGTTAGGATTCACATCTGCCATCTAATTATTTGCTTTCTTTTCTGTTTATCATTCCAATGCCCCCTCCATCTTCTTATGGGCAACTCAAGCAATTTTCACTTCTATGTCTTAACAGAACTACAGTTTAAGTTTCTTTTATTACAGTTACTTACTGCTCTAGCAATTATAATATACACTATCAAAGACTACCAGTATCAACATTCTGTACTTCGAGTGGAATAAAGAAACTGTACCCACAATTATATTCCTTTATCTTCCCCTTTTATTATATACTTGTCTTAAAAATTATCTTGTATATGAGTGCTACCACAAAAATTTTATATTCCTTCTCTGAAGTTACACACCTCCAGCAAAATTTGTCAACGTACGGACCTATTTTTTATGCTGGTCAATATTCATAGCATACTTTTCAGTTAAAAACTCAGGCCTAACCCAGCATAGTGTGCATACCTGTCACTTCAGCACTGAGAGGCTGAGTCAGAAGGATCCCAAATTCAAACCCACCCTCGGCAACTTAGCGAGACTCTGTCTCAAAGAGGTGGGACTGTACTTCTGTGTGAAGGAATTGGGTTCAACCACCAGTACCAAAAAACAAAAGAAAACAAAACAAAATTTATGCTTTCCTTTGGTTTTACAAAGTTCCCAGAAATGATATATTTTAATAGTTTCTCTACTGCTTCCTCCACTTTCTTCTCTTGCAATTTTTAGTAAAAGACAGGGAACTTTCTATCCATTCGTCATTTCTCATAGCTGTCTTCATATCGGTTATTTTCTTGTCCCTCTTTCTAGAGTTTACACAATCTTCTTTTATTTCAGTAACCATCCTTTTCTTCTTGAACATTTCTAATTTATTCCTCATTATACTTATCTGTTTATAAATGTTTTATTCCTCATAATTTAGTTTTGTTTTTTGTTTTGATGTTATTGCTGTTGTTCTGAGACAGGATCTTGCTATGTTTTTAGGCTGGTCTTAAACTATGTTGCCCAAATTGGCCTTGAATTCATGATGATCTTCCTGTCTCAGCCTCCCTAGTGCTGGAAGACAGGCATGAACCACCATACCTGGCAATTTCATGATCTTTTAAAATGAAAACCTTCATTTAATTTGATCATCCATAGCAAGCTTCAAGTCTTTAGTAAGAAAATTAAATTTCACCTTGAGTACAATGTTTTGCTTATTTTCTGTGTCTCTAGTAACATTAGATTTCACTGCATTTGCAACTTTAAAGAAATGTTTTGTAGTGTTCTCTTACTCTTCATTCATTTGCCTTTACCTCCTACTCCCAATCCTGCCTCCCATCCAATACATAGTTTCATAACTCCTTGCCCCTACATCCAGTCCAGAACTGGGGCAAGGGTGTGTATGCGTGAGTGTGTGTGTGTGTGTGTGTGTGTGTACATATTCAGTTATATTTTGCTGCCATATTAACAGAGTTCTTCATTCCAAATTCATTTGTAAGCTTCTCAAAGAATAAAGACTATGGTACTAAACCCCAAGATATATTCAGAACATAGTACATCTCTAGTACTGTATTTGCATTGTGGGTTATATGCCTGACAGAACTTACCTTAGACTTAGTATGAATGCTAAATTATTTAGGCTACAGAATTTAACCTGAAACTATCACCATATAGTGATAATCCATTAAAAAGAGGTTCTAAAACATTTTCCTTTAACTCTCCTACTGTCACATAACCCAACTCAAGCTTCCTTGCAATATGCAATTTAACTGGGAGTTCAAGACATTTCTAAAATATTCTAACACTTGATAGATGTGGCAAATGATGGCAGAAGATGAACACCACAAAACAAGACTCTCCACTGGTCACACGATGATCAGCACCTATGCCCATGTTATAGAGTTTCACCCTTTCAGGATCTGATACAATTCAGTTTCTTCCTCTCTCAGAGAGGTTTTCCCTAGCAGAACTCATAACCACATATTATCTCTCAGCCAATGACTGAATTACACTTGCGTAAGAGGATAATCTTGACTAGTAAATCACTTTTCTTTCCCTTAAAAACACTAAAGAGCAATTTCAGTAGCAAACTCATGGTAATTAAACATAATTTGGCATTATGCCACTAGAAAAAAATCTTTATTTCCAGAAATAATAAAAGACCAAACTCAAGCTAAGCAAAATCAAAAGAATTTCTGAATAGGAATAATCAGTACTAGATAACAAAGATAAGTGGGGGCTGGAGATTTAGCTCAGCGGCATAAGCATTTGCCTTGCAAGCAGGTGGTCGTGAGTTCGATCCCCAGTACCGATAAAAAAAAAAAAAAAAGAAAGAAAGAACAAAGATAACTGTACATCTTAGAAAAAAATCAGCCAGTCACAGAATTCTCAATATATTCTTAAAATACGGAAAAAAAATCCACAACAAAACCAAAACAGTCTTCCTAATTTCTAAAAGCTGAGTAACAACATAAAACAAATCTGCTGAAATCATCCTCAGCTATTACTCCAACAACTTTAAACCAAAGTTCACTATTAAGGCTTCTTACCTTTGGCAGTTCCCATTCTGACCGAGACCCATCTGCACTGTAGTAATACTGTCTACCTTGATCGTCAACATGCTTGAGCCACTATAAAGACAAAGCAGGATTTATAAATTTTAAGTAAATTCAAGCTGCTACTGCCAGACATTAGATAGTCTTTCTGTGAATTTTATTCTACTTGCTAAGAAAATTGAAAAAAAAAAAATCAACCAATGTACAGATTTGCATTTTAAACATGGTAAGAATAAGTACAGTATTCAACATTTAATGTATATTTTTCCTTTCTCCAATATCAGGCTAGAGAAGCTAGTATTGTTTAACAATGAAACAAGAAACACGACATAAAGACACACAGAAACACATGTGCACTGAACACAGATACACAAAGATTGCAGGGTCTGAGAAGGAGGACTAAGGAAGACTAGTATGAACCTATCTTGGTTACAATGCAAATGAAAACTACCACTTCCATAGGTTCTTATGGCAAATAATGAGTCAGGAAAGAGGAGTACAAGCCTATTCTACTGTATCCTAGAGTCAGTTCTCTAAACTAACCCATGCATCCAGTTACTTTCTTAAAGCAATGCCAGATTAATAAACATGTAAGATTTCAATATTCCCAAATCAATTTTTCATAAAATACTAGATTCATGGTTTTGTTTTACACAAATTTAGTCACAGCAGAAAAAAGAGTCTAGGCAATGAGACAGCATATAATAATGAGGGACTGGAAAAGGAATTTCTCAAAGAAAAATATGAAATGTGCCTAATGAATAAACCTAAACAAATGACATTTATTACATCTACCCTTATAAGATCAATCTAAAGTGGACTATCAAAACCACAAAAATCACTAACATAATAGGAGTTTAAAACCATGAATCAGTAGTTATATACTAAGTGTTCATTGTTAACTGGCCTTATTATAGAAATACAAAGGTGAATATCTTAATAAGCTTTTAAAAATACTACTAAAGCTTCAATATACAATTATTTGATGAGAAAATTTTACCAAGAAATACTAGATGAGAAAAAAAGGAAGTACCTTTTCATTAGTATAGTCACTGGTATATAAGGTATGCCCACGTTCATCCAACTCTTCTGACCAACCCCTTGGAGGAGAACCACACTGACTATCTGATTGGCTGGGACAAATGCTGTGGCAGTTTTCTTCTGATGAAAGAAGCTATAAATAGAAACATAATGATTTTTCTTGTTTTAAATAAAACAAAATCTGAGCAACTGAATAAGCAACTGAAAATCTAAGAGATTGAATTTACTTGGCTTTAAGTGCTAAGAATACTTGAATATTTATTCTCAAAACAAATTATTAAGTCTTAAAATTGTATAGAATATGCTAAGTGGAGAGGTAAATAACGGTTAGTTATGATTATTAATACAACTTACAATAAATTTGAAAATAGTATTTCCAGACAAGGAGTGATAAAATATAACCCATATAACGGTGCTTTATTTTGAGGGGCTGGGGGGAGGGGGCTTTGTTGTGGTTTTTTGGTACCAGGTATCAAACTCATGACCTGGTACTTGCCAGCAGGCATGTGCCACTGAGCTACATCCCTGTCCCCTCTAATGCTGCTTTGGAACTGAAACCTCAAGTTAAAACATGACACGGAGGCTATGTGTGCAACAAAGCAGGGCCTGCAGGACTCCACTAACGGAGCTTTTTGGAAACTCTCTCTTGTAGTGGGTACGGCACTGCTCACCGCTAACTCCAGAACCCAGGAGTCTAAGGCAGGAGGGTTGCTACAAGTTCAAGGCCAGCCTGCATACACAGTGAGTTCACGGTCAGAAGCCTAAACTACACAGTGAGTCCCTGTCTTTAAAAGAAGAAGAAGAAAAAAAAAAAAAAAAACACTCATTGTATATCGTAAGTAGTGAACCAAATGCCTGGCAAATAAAATATCCTCAACTAATTTTTTAAAGTATATGAACAAGGGAAATGGAAAAAAAAAAGACACTAGATTTATTATGCTGTACTTTGTGTTCTAACTGGTAAACATTACCCTAATTCACTCAAACAAATGTTTATAAAAGGCTATTAAAAACTAAACTTCAAAATAACAGGAATATACAGAATGATCAGCAATTTAATACAGAAACGATACAGATTTGCGTGAAGCTAAAAACACAAAATGGGCACAGTGATGCATGCCTCTAACACCAGCACTTTAGAGGATGAGGCAGGGAGACTGCCTCAGTTCAAGGCCACCCTGAATACACAGCAAGACCCTGTCTCTTAAAAACTTGGGAAGGGGGACAGTGGCAGGGTCTTTAAAGAAAAGGAAAGAAACTCAAAACACAGAAGAAAAGCAAATTAAAGATTGTGAAAACTTAACAATTTTTGATGCATATTAATAACCAAAAGGCATCATAATGTAACCAAGTAGCAATCTTCTTACCACGCTTAAACTTAATTCATCTGACAGCTATTTATTAAACACTCTGCTGCAATGATCCTTTCCGTCACCTTTAAACGGTTTCTGCAGTTAAACCTTACTCACACAGCACTGTCTGGCAAGCACAAGATCCTGAGTTTATTCCTGGTACCAAAAAAAAAAAAAAAACCCTTACTCAAGCAGACTATTTTCTACCACCATAAGGTGACAGGGGAATATAATAAAATCGTTTAGAAACTGAAAAAATACTTTAATCTAACAGCAAACTTAAGGAATAAAAATCACTAAATCGGTTATTTCTTGAATACAACTTTCTAGTTGACAAAGTAGTCATCATAACTTCCCAATTTTGTGCCATGAAATATTCTTTTTTCATGGCACAGAGTAACCTCCAATATCTTGGTATGTCTTACAGAACAAGAACTGACAATAAGATCGTGGTACCTGCTGCTGGCAAAGCGTAGTTTAACAGTCACACACGAACTGGAAGTATCCGGGGAAACACTCTCCAAATGTCAGCCGCTCTCCACTAAGCAGCCCCACTCCACAAGGGGCGGCATAGTAGCTGTGACTACTCTGCAGCAGACACACCCTTGGGGAAGCATGAGGGAGCTAGCACACACGCTCAGTGCCACCCATCAACACCCCGGTAAAGCCACTGAAAATACTGCACTCATTGTTTTAAAAAATATCCTCAGTGAATAGGCATTCCCTGAAGAAATGCTCAAGGGTCAAAAAGTAAATAGAAGCAAGGTTTCAGAGAGTTAAGCAGAATCAAAAGATCAGATTTCTCCTTGCTCAACCCCAAACCACAACACCAGTTGTCAAGGCCATGAAGAAGTTTTGGGGAGTGAGACTCAGGACTACCACAGCTCGAAATCTAAAAGGATAACCCACAATTTGGGGCTGGGGTCTACCTGCAAGAATTATGTCCAGAGAGCATGTGTAAGACCCTTTATTCTATACTAGAAAACACAGAAAGCTTCTCCAATTGGGACAAAAAAGGGGACTCTTACACAGTAAGACTGTATTCACAAAGTAAAAATTATTACTATCCAGGTGGCCTGCAAAAAATAAAGGTGAAGTAAAAATAACACTGTAAATGTTTAAGGATAGTTTTTAAAATATTTAAGTATTGGCTTAATACATGTAATTATTGTTTACTGCAAACGTACTGACAAAAAATAAATTTTCATTTACTTTATTTTTTAATGGTACTGAGTATCAAACTCATGATCTTGTGCTTGCCAGGCAGGTGGTTGTGCTGCTGAACTAAATCCTCAGCCCAAAACTAAATTTTAAATTTTAAAAAAAATTTAAGTAAAGAAAGAAAGGTAAATAAAGAGGGGGAAAAAATAACAGACGAGAGTTCTGGAAATATGGAGAATGAGGCACAGACAGACAGAGTGAGCACATTTAACATTCATCTAACCAAAGTTCCAGAATAAGAAGAAAAATGGGGGCACACACAGAAAATGCCTAAAAATGTGGCAGAACTGATAAAAAGACTCCTCAAATTCCAACTTACTAAACAATACCCACCTGGCAGGAATGAAACAGATATTGTCGGCAGTTACATCAGAATGAAATTAGAAGGCAGCACCTGCCTGGCAAGTGCGAGGTCTTAAATTCAACCCTTGGTTATCGCCCTCCCCCCCAAAAAAGAGATGAGGTCTCACAGTGAAACCAGACACAAGATTTTAAAAGCTATTACCAATAAAAGGCAAACTACTCTTAATGAAAATATAATCAGCCTGATAGCAAGACTTTCAGCATCAATAGTGAAAGCCAGGAAATGTATACGTAAAATCTTTAATGAATTAGAATTAAAAAACTTGAAACTACAGCTCTATTAAATATTCTTCAAAAATAGAAACAAAACAAATTTCCAGACAAAAGATTCTATCATCAACAGACACTCATAGGATAATTTAAAAGCACATGCTCAAGACAGAAGAAAGTATGAAGAAATGAAGCACAATGACAGTAAGGGAGATAAAATAGAAATATGTAACAGCAGAAGCACAACACATACAGTTTTCGCACAGTTTTAAGGAGCAAGAGGGAACTAACAGGCTCTGACAAACAGGCATGTTGACACGTCTCAATGACACAGCACCACTGAAACTGAGGGCCACACAATCTCACTGTGGACAGCCAACACATTTGCTGCCATTCAGAGCTTCTCCAGCCACTAGCTGCCAGCAGTATACTCCTCCTTGTGATGATCACAGTCTCCAAATGTTATCAAATGTTCTTGAAAGTTAAGGCCCAGTCCCCTCGGGCACCACTAAAATAGTAATAATGAATGAAACTTGCCTAAAATTTGTAAGCTCATAAAGAAAGACAGGTAACAGTTTGGCACATGAACAAAAATCTCAACTGTACATGCACAGGAAAGAGAAATCTAAACTGGCAGAGGAAGGGGACCAAGGGCGGATAAAACCCAGCAAGCTGACAGAACAGGATCCGCAAATGGCTCAGGAACTGACAGCATTAGGTGTCTAACTGGGAGGAGAAAGCAGGGTACTACAACAAAGAAGACTCGAAGTGCAGAATCATTTTATGCCTGGCCACTTGGCATGTAACCTATATCCCAGCAGAAGTATGGGAGTTTATTCCCTCCAAAGGGTCAAAACAGTAACATCCTCAGTTAAGACACAACATAATTAGGACGCAAGCACCACAGAGAGGGGAGACTAGGAGACCATCTGCAAAATGAAGCAAGATCCTGGCACCCTTTAACCTCCCAGGAGAAGAGTTAAAGACCTCTATGGACACTGTGATCAGTTCACATGAGAAGATTGAAAGGTTCTGATCTTGGGAGACTCCTAAGCAAGCACCTAACCTAGATTCCCTATCAAATGAAGTCCAAAATGCTTTGTAACCTAGAATATCACCTCCAACTTAGAATTGTATATCCAGGCCTTCAATATATTAAATATGAAGGTACAACAGCAACAATTTCACACGCATACACACATTCTCAATGTTACCTCCCACATGCCATGAAGATGCACTCCAGCCACTGAAAATAATTTTTATACAACTTACAGAGACTAGAAATAAAAGCGGAGACCTTGATAGACAAAACACTCTCATCTATTTACTGAAAAAAAAGAAAGCTAAGAAACATGTACGTTAAAGGTTTCTGTGTACACTTTTAAATTTTTTATTAGTCTGTTGTTCTGCTTTTTCTTTCATTCTCCCAAATTATAAGATTTTACCTGGACAGTTTGTTTTCAAATCTTCCTTCGAACCTTTCTTACTTGAATTACGCATGAGCATTTTCTCTCTTTCTTAAAGTAAAGTAAAAGCATAAGTTAACACCAAACCAAAGCTATAAATAGCCAAGTGGAAAACAGGACAAGAAGGGAAATTATTAACTATAAAAAGATTTTAGACTCTGCTAGAAGCAGGATGTGTTACCTGATTTCGCCAGCTCATGCTAACTGGCTCATGATGTCTCTGGCAGGTACAAAGACTCCAGGTTATGAAACAGCAAGATTTCACTCCATTCTACTAATCTTGTCACTCCCTTCCCACCCCCCCCCCACGTATCTCAGCAGTTCCAAGGCTACTCATCAGACTACAAAGTGAGTAGTTTTCAAGGTATCATTTGTCCTTTCTCTACACCACCATGCAAGAGGTGTGAGAAAAGGTAAAACTAAAAGGGAGAAAACAGTATGCACATTACTTCCCTTACAAAGAAATATAATGTGACCCTTTACCACTGACAAAAAGACAAAACTGAGGTGCTAGACAGCTTTACCAAATCAACGAAGGACATTGTTTCTATTATTTCTATGGGTCACAAAACATGTATTTTTTGTAAATAACATTGGTTTATGCATAAAGTTAGTGTCTTTTAATACACAAAGGAAAGCACAGGCAGTAGGCTTTGATCCAGTTCAGGAACTAGTAGGCATACTGCAAGGTTAGCTACTGTCCACGAGAGATTAGCATTAGCATAATAAAGCATGGAAAGAATTGTTAATATGGTATCTCAGAGTCAAGTGCTTTATTGTGTTGATACCAAGAAAAGATACTCAGTATTTCTGTTTCTGAATAATGAAACTAATAAAAACTGGAAAACTCACTGGTTGATTCCTTAGTAACTCATACCTCTTGATCTCCTTGACTGTGGAAATCTTTGCTTATACTTGCATCCCGGGTCCATCGGGGTGGTTTCCAAGTTCTTTCCTGTGTTCCTCGGTTATAGTAGTAACAACGCCCCAAACTATCTTTATGAGTTTCCCATTCTCCATTAATCTGAATTGCGGGACTCCCAGGAAGTGGGGGGAGAGCGGACTGGGATATTTTCAGTTCTTGTAGGTTGGCATACACAGGAGAATCTGGCCTTCCTTGATTTGGTGGTGTAGTTGCCTGTGAAATAAAAATTTTAAATTTCATACTTAAAATGGCACATTTGCAAATTAAAATGAAATCAGAAATGTACAAACATATCAATTAATCCACTTAAAAACAGAAAACTAACAAGGATGGGGTATGGCTCACTGGGTACAGCATTTGCTTGGCACACACCAGGTCCTGGATTTGAGCCCTAGCACTGAGCAAAACAAAGAGGAGGAAGGACAAAGAATTTTAAAAAGAAACACATGTCAAAGCATTCTAAAAAAAACAAACAAAAACCATATATATTCCAAGGAAAACAGATGCTATGTAATGTTTACATACATATGATATTCTAAAGAAACACATACTTAAAAAGTTATTTAAACTTTAATATTCATAGTTGGAATGAAAATGAACCAAGTGTATTAAACACTACCTTCCACCCTAAAATAATACTCACCCAGGAGCTGAGGGTTCTAGTTCAAGACTTGAAAGTGTAAGTTTGCATGACACTGGTTGATTGTGTCACCTCTCTAAAAATGAATTTCTAACTCTATAAATGGAGGAATTGAACTAAACCACCAAGGTGGTCTTTGGCTCTAAAATTCTATTATTTCAGGTAATTTTTTAAAATATAAAAAGTCTTACACATGGATGGCTCAGTTTTTATTCAAAAAACTATCAAAATAGTTTTTTCAAAACGAAAATTTTTATATTCTCAGATGTAACATTAAATCAAGTGAAACATAAAAAGAATAAACTAAAAATTTACTAGATTCTATGCTTTCTCCATACCCTCAAACAAATTAGTATCTACTACTTTTTTTATGAAATTTTAGCAGTGGTAAAATAATTAGTAGTAACTAGGTGATTTATCTACGTTTAATCTTAACCTAGTTTTTATTTTCAAATGTCTCACTAGATGTCAGTAATGAGCAAAATACTCTTCAGGCACTGCATAAGGACACTGAAAATTGAATTGTTTTCAAAATTACAGTTGCTAAAGGAAAAAACTTTACATTTGAGAACTGCTCATTATTTCTATTTCTGTACATATCTCTCTTTAACAACAGAGCTTCTCAGACTCAGCACCACGGATCTGACACAGATCCTTCTTTGTTGTGAGGGCTGTCCTGTGTGCTGTGGGGTGTTCACCTGCACGCTCCAGCCCCTGCCTCCTTGACAGCAGGGCGTGCATGCACACACACCACACACACACGCATATGCACATCGGTTCTGAAAAGCCTCCAGACATTGCCAAGTAATTTCTAGGGAACAAAAGGGCCCTAGATGAGAGCCACTACTTTTTGACGTAAATCCTAGGGCTACATTCTGATGTTCAACTACTTTTGTCATCCAGAGTTTCCTAAGTGCTTAAAACACTGTATTTTAACTTTCACAGTTTATGTTACTATACTTACTGACTGGCATATGTTGACCCATCCTTGTATCCCTGGAATGAAACCTACTGATCACGGTAAAAAAAAAAAAATCCTTTTATTGTGCTGTTGGAATTTGATTTACAATACGTTAAGAAAAATAACACAGAAAGACATAGAAAGCCAAACATGTCATTTTCTCATAGGTAGAAACTGAAAACACTATCAAGCTGAAAGTAAAAAGTGGTTACCAGGGACTAGAAAGGATGTGGAGTCAAAGGGCGAGGAAGTTAGGTAGATATGAGCCACAGGTAGATCAGGGCACAATCTAAGTATCTGAGTATCACAATATACTCCACTAACATGTGTTTATAAATTATTTAAGAAGAAAAATATGCCTGGCGTAGTGGTACATGCCTGTAATCCCAGCAGTAGGGAGGCTGAGAGAAGAGGATCGCTGTGAGTTTAAGGCCAGCTTAGGTTGCAAAAGTGAATTCAAGGCCAGCTTGAACTACACAATGAAACCCTATCTCAAAAAGATGAGAAAGAGAGGAGAGAGAGACAGAGAGAAAGAGAGAGACAGACAGACAGAAAAAAAAGAGAGAGACAGTCAGAGACAGAGACAGATGGAGGTAAGAAAAGGGAAGGAAGATTCAATTTTACAAGGGAAACATGCATGGAAATATAGTAATTGAAATTAGTAACTGGTTAAACCAGATGTGGTGGCACACACCTGTTATCCCAGCACTCAGAAGGCTGAGGCTGGAGGACTGCTGTGCGTTCGACACCAGCCTGGGCCACAAAGGGAGCCAGCCCATGGCCAGCCTGAACTGCACAAGGAGACCCTCTCTCAAAAAGACCCTCACACACACACAAAAAGCATTGGTGTATAAAATACTTTTTTTTTTTTTTTAGAACCAAGGTCTTATTGTGCCATTCAGGTTACCCTGAACTCACTATGTAGCACAGGCTGGCCTTAAACTCATAGCAATCTCCAGCCTCAGTCTCTGGAGTGCGAAGGTTATAGCTACGTGTCACTAAGGACATTTTAAAGAGTGTGAATCACAGAACAAACTTTAAAAGAGAAAACAGTAAAAATCCAAAGCACATACATGGCTGTAAAATGTTTAGCATTTATCTTTTTACACTTAATGGTTATGCAAGCACTGAATTAAATAATGTGAATTACTGTTTTTCTAAAAAAAAAAAAAAAGTTTCAAATTTAGACTATTACACCAAACACATATTTTCATGAAGATGTATTCATAGAGACAAATAGCCATTTATTTCTCTAATGGACTACTTTCACATCCCGGTAAAGTAGCCATAACAATGGTTTCTGACAAAAACGAATTCTGTTAAGGTAAACAATTCTGTATAATATGTCCTTTTTCAAAGCTTTATCTAGAGACTGTTTACTCAACAAGTATCAAAGGATTCCTAACTTTATTCATGAATGTTGACTGAAACTCCCAAGAAAAACTGAAACTCCAAGAAAACAAAATGCCAAGATATAGCCATTTTTTAAATTGTAGACAAATACTACTCCATCTTTAAGAAACAACTGCTTCCTAACAGCTAAACAGCTCAAATTTACGCAGTTATTCCAAATGAAAACTGAAGCACTTCACCGGCCTGAAGGTCAGAACGATTCTGAAACAAAAGCAGCAAAGAACTAAAAGAATGAATACTGCAGCTGTTTCATTCGTAAATACAGATGAAAAGTATCCTAAATAAAATATAACCAATCAAATCCAACAACACATTAAATAAATACTGAAGAACAGAGCTGTTAAGAAAGACTGTCTTTAGGAAATCTACTCCACAGACATCAAAGCAAACATTTGATAAAATTCAACGCAGATTCTGGATAGAAGATCTATCGAGTTAGGATAGGTGACACTTCTTTAATTTGACTTTTAAAAGTTATAAACACTTAAGCATCACATTTAAGGCAGATAAGCACTTTAAGTCAAGAATGATACTAAAGATGCAAGCATCACTGCTTATTTTGTACTATAAACTCTATTTTGTACTATACATGAAGTCCCAAACAATACACTGGGACTTATGAATAAGGCGTTAAGCCCATAAATATCTAGAAGATAAAAAATCTGTCATTTGCTAGAACATTATGAGTGCCAAAAGGAAGAGGCCTGGAAACAAGAGACCTCTGAAACAAATAAATAGGAGTTAGCCAGGTAAAATTGGGAAGCAGCATGGTACAGTCAGAAAAGAAAGATCTAAGGAAACACAAGCCACAACAAAGAGAGCCTGTATACCATGATACAGCGCACAGATGTTATCCAGCAGCTCTTAGGAAACTACTCAGACTTTAAGTCAGGAAGTACATTCCCATGTGGACTTGAAGAAATTCAGAATCTGGAGGGACACGATCAGCTAGGCATTTGGATTGGTAAACAGTATATACAGACGATCAACAGAGCAAACTGGTAGGAATGGATAAGCAAGAGCCAAGAAATAATTCAGAGGGTTAAATTAACATGCAGATTGTATTATTTGTTTATGTGAAATATGGCTTGTTTTCCTGTGTCTGTGTGTGTGTGTTTAATATGAATTAAGTCAAGATAAAAAACAGTATGGAAACAGGGACAGAAGAGTTCTACTAAGATATAAACCCTTTTTTAAAAAATCCAAGTAGAAATGCTCAGATTGTTGGATATACAGATTGTGGCTCAGTATAGAAATTAAGGCTAAAAATATAAATGTAAAAGTTATCAGGATATAGATGGGGCCCATAATTTAAAAAGAGCATGCCGAATGAGAGGAGGAAGAAAATATGAATAATTGTTCTATGAATGAAAGTAAGGTTCTGGGGTTATGGCTCAGTGGTGGAATGCTGGCTTAGCATGGGCAAGACCCTGGATTCTGGGAGGGGCAGGACTAAACTCAGCGCATGGTCTAACACAGTAACTTTGGGAGGGGTGCTGGAGACTGACCGGGCCTTCATCCTACCTTCTGCTATTTTAATTTTGAGGGAGGGTTTTACTACACTGCTAAGCAGCACAGTAACTTTTATTGTTATAATTATCACTGCAGTCCATACGCTTAAGGGACCAAAGAAAAAGGATCTAGTGAGGGCAGCAGAAAAGAGAATCAGAAATAGGCCTACCAGGGAAAGGCCAGCCTGTAAGTCAGGGAGAGGGAAAGCTCCTAAAAAAGAGAAGGCAACAGTATCAAATCCAAAGATTTCAGCATAGGAGCTCCAAAATGACCAATTCAGCAATTAAGTGATTAAACTGACATACATGAGGAGATGAAATTACTTCCCTGCCAGAAACAACTACAAAAGCAAATAAAATACAATATTTTCAGGCACTGTGTAACACATCCGAGGACTCAGATTCCTGAGAGTGAACCCTCACTCCCACAGCTTTGCCTGTAGACGGTTTTCAGAAATCAGACTAGTGAGACCAAAATCTAGAGGCCACCCCTCCTGATGCTGAGTGGCCAGGACAGAGTACTTTATTATTTAAAATAACATTTGGGGGCTGCTTGCATTGGTATGGGCCTGTAATCCTAACTCTCCATAAGCTGAGGCAAAAAGCAAGGTAGAACTTTGGGAGACCCAGTCTCAAAAAACAAACAAAACCACTGGGAATAATGCAAGAAATGAAAATAATTATGTAA